TAATGGGTGTACCCAGTACCTATGGCGGCGACGTTGTTTACGTTTTCTATTTTTTAAAACCAAAGCTACAACACACGCTGCTTGCCAGAAATCCATGGTCATACTGAAAAAAAAAATAAGTTAAACGCCAGCCGCAGTGCGTGATTGTATGCGGTTATGCGTTTTCAGCTATTCCTCAACCGCTCTTGGTTAACCGCAGTGCCTTCTAACCCTTAAAATCAGTTGCATCGCAGGAAAAAAATCGCTGGGAATTGTGAGACAAGGGACTCACAAAACTATGCAGTCAAAACCGCGGCGGTTTAGCCGTAGTGCGGCCTAGCACTAAATTGGTATTGCTGTTGTCTAAACTTATAAAAAAAAAACGGCCAAGTGCGAGTCGGAATCCCCGACCGAGGGTTTCGTACAAACCTGTAGGTATATTTTAATAATTATTAAAAACTGTTTTTTATTATATGATGTAACTAAAAATTTACGGTTTTCGCAATTTTTACTGTACTATAAGACATTACTTTGTCCCAAATTTCAAGATTCTAAATTCACCCTGTAGGTTTTGATCCCGTGCGAGTTTCGAAAATTTGCGGCATAAGACGGCTGTATCTTTTGATTTCTTTGGCTTAGAAGTTTGATTTTTTCACAGCTCCAAGGGACAGTAGACCTGAGTATTAGATATCAATTTCAGTTTGATACCTCCACGCGTTCCTGTGAAAAACGATCTTGACAGACGGACGGACGGACGGACAACAAAGCGATCCTATATGGGTTCCGTTTTATCCTTTTGAGGTACACAACCCTAAAAAATGCGGTTCACATGAAAAACGGGCGGGTCCTAGTATGATTTTAACTCAGGGTTGGGGTCAAGAGATTAAAACACGTATGTCGATTTTAGAAGTGTAAATCTATTCCATGTTTCTATATCTTGGTCCAGCCCAACTTCCAAATCATACTAGAACCTGCCCGATTATATGTGAATTTTGTGCTTTTAAGTTCAATTTCCGATTTTGAAATTGGGTTTAATTTTTTGTTTAAAAATAATGATCGTTTCTACCCCTAACAAAAAGAGCTCTACACAAAGTGTCGTGAAAATGACATCGTATAAGTAAACAAGTGCACATAAGTGCTACGGTCATTCAAAGACTGTATAAAACATAAGTCAAAAAAATTTAAGCAACTAGTTATAAAATGGTTGGAACAATTTAACTATGACAACCTAGAACAATTAGTACAAACAATTACTAGCTTGTCTTAGATCTATACATAATTAAATATCCACACACATAACACACGCACACGCACACACACACACACGCACACACACACACGCACACACACACACACACACACACACACACACACACACACACACACTCACAGACACACCTAAACTATACATAATTGGTTGTTTGTAGTTTTCAAGTAACATGTGTAATAATTGCATGTTTATTATAATTTTATATTTATATAATAAGGATGAGCCTGCCTCTCATAACACAGGGTAACCTTATATGAGAGCAGTTCTAATTTTGTACAAACAAAAAATATTTGGAATAAAGAAATTTTTGTTTTGTTTTTGTTTTTTGATAAAATAAAAGCTACTGGGTGAATTTTTTTTTTTATGTGACTCAATATTAAGTATCTTCTATCGAACAAAAAAAGAATCTAAATAAAGGACAATGGGCAAAACGCACCCAGCTCCGCCAACAATGTAATTAGTATGAATCGATAGATCTATGAAAAACTAGCCTTTTTTATTATGGCACCAAAAAAAATAACCTGGGTGTCAAAAGATATACACCTGGGTATGTTCTATATTAGGGGTTAAGGTTTCCGCACATAGTCCTTATAGATCTTTGTGTGTAAGTCATGGGGACCGGTTACACACGGGCATATTTAAATAGCTCCTTATAGAGAAGCTCAATGGCGCAGGTGGTTAGCGCGTTCGGTTGCGATCGTTGAAGTTAAGCAACTTCCGCAGTGGTCGGTCATTGGATGGGTGACCAAAAACATCTATCTCGAGTTCCTCCGTGCTTCGGAAGGCACGTTAAGCCGTTGGTCCCGGCTGCATCTGCAGTCGTTAGCACCCGCCAATCCGCACTGGGCCCGCGTGGTGGGTCATGGCCCAATCTCCCTATTTCATCCATAGGGAAGGCCGGTGCCCCAGCAGTGGGGACATTAATAGGCTGATGATGATGATATTTAAATAGCTAAAGAGATTCATTCAATATCAATAGTACTTTCGTTTTATAATATTAGCAATAATAAGTGAGTGAATCATATCTTACTGTACAACCAGATACAAAATACTAAACAACAAAACCTACCGACTATCCTGCTTGCTTGCTGCTTGCACTTACTGAGACTCCTCAAAACGTCTAACAGGGTATGGGGGTTGAAGGATGTGATATTGCAGTTGCCGTTGCAACTAGTCTACTCGTATGCAGTCCTATGTCTTACATTTTGTGCGCTCCCTGTTATTTCATTGATATTTAACTAACACGCTTTAGAAATAGGAACACGATTATCATCGCGTACGTCATTATAATCGTACGAGCTAATAAAAAATCTATGGATAAATTTAAATGCTCGTACTCAGCACACAAACATCTGCCCCCACCAGGATTCGAACCCGGGACCTCTCGGGCTAGCGACACCATGAAACCCGGCGTACAAACCACTGGACTCGGATATATTAATTGACGACCTCCGTGGTCGTCAATTAATATATCCGTTCTATATACTCGTCCTTGTATCTTTAAATATTATGTTCGTTATAGTTACTTTTACCTATGGAATTGTACCTATTTAACTTAAAATAACTAAAGACTCCCGGGATGGAATTTGATGCGCTTTGGCACAAATGATCATGACTATGATACCTTTCAAACAAATGTAGTTTAAGCCGTGGCGGACGTGGGTGCAGTGTCCATGCAATTTTGCCCATTGTCCTTTATGGAATATTTACATACAAAATGCTTGTAGCGAAAGTAAGATTTATCAAATCATCCTACGACATACATGACGAAGATTATATAAATCTTCAACCAAAAGAAATCATTTTTTCTATGTAAACTTTCACGGCACCATTTAGTTTCAGTGACGCAGCTGTTCATGGTGTTAAGTTATTAAAGGAGTGGCATGTTTATAGACACGATAATCTTATTGGTAGGGTGAACATTGTTTTTTACGTCATTCCTTTCTTCAATCAGATGCCTTTTACAAGTTGGAGAAAAATATTTAGGCCTAGTTTTAAAGGGCAAAATAACATTAAGTACCAGTAAGCCTCACAGAAGATTAGATTAGTTCTTACAGATGAATATGTTGAAGTATTCCTTACATAATAGAAAATTAGATCAACCATTTACAAAGGGTTAATGATATCAAAATATATTTCAGTAACGAAAGCTTTTATTAGGCTTTGTCGCCCCTCGCAGCTATTGTAGCCGCCCCAGGCTATGTGCCTCTTGTCCTCTGTTCCCCACAGCGTTCATAATCGTAATAAATGGATTAACCTAAAATCTTCTTTTTCTTCTATATCTAAATAGATAGATTGTTAAATAACAATAGCAGCAGTGCAACAAGCTTTTTGCGATCCATGTCACTATTAGTAAAACATATCCAATACGGCTGACTACCGTTAAGGGTATGGATGTCGCATCGCATTGCAGTTTTGTGTGGGAGCTCTATGAGGGAATGATTCAGAGAAGGGAGGGTACATGAATATTGAAGAAGTATTACATATACTTTCTAAGGTATATTTATAGGACTTCCAATACTTAAGCTGTTTAATATGGGTTCATCATTGCACAGGCTCAAATTTGCATGTCTGATAAGTTTTGAATAAGCAGCGCAGGATCTGATATTGTGCAGGCGGCTGGGTGAAGTAGTTAGAAATGAGTGTAAAATTAACTGTATTTCATATAAAAGTTCTTTACACTGTGGCTAGGTAATCCTACAAGTTAATATTTTCCTTGAATGCAACTTTTGTGATTCACTTTTAGTGATTAGCAAGTCAAAACTCTAAAAGGTTGTATACTTTTAATGTACATTTTAAGTTTCACCATAAGCGTAAGCTCAAAACTTAAATATATTTTTTCTGTCCTACATAAAGATTTTTTTAGGATCATTTATAAATAATACTGTAACTATGGTAAATTGAATACAATATTTATTTCTAAATAAAAAATTTAATTGTCATATTTGACTAACTCCTTCTCAAATAATTACCTTTATGTATACTGGTGTCTACAACATTGTGTCGATGTTAATTTAACAAATATGTCTGCCTTGTTTTTTGACTATGCTTACTGTTACAAGGATTCATAAGATTCGTGGAGCTTGATGGCGCAAGTGGTAAGGCCATGTGGCAGCAATCGTTGAAGTTAAGCAACTTTCGAAGTGGTCGGATATTGGATAGGTGACCAAAAATTTACTTTCTCAAGCTCCTCAGTGCTTCCGAAGGCACGTTGAGTCCTTGGTCCCGGAAGCATCTGCAGTCGGTAGCACCCACCAATCCGCACTGGACCTGTATGGTGGGACACTGCCAAATCTCTCTATTCCATCCATAGGCAAGGCTTGTGCTCCAGCAGTGGGGATAATAATACACTGATGATAATGATTTCTATATAATACCAATTTATATAAATGGTTTTATCAAATGATTGATTTTTTTTACACTCACACCAATTACCCTAGCCCCAAAGTAAGCACTGTAAGCCTTGTGTTATGGGATACTACGGTAACGGATAGAATACATATACTGTACATATATAAGTATATTTATATAGAAAAATACATATTAAACATCCATGACTGGAGTACAAATGCTCATATTCATCACACTAACATCTGCCCCCAGCGGGTTCGAACCCGAGACCTCTCGAGTTGGCAACACCATGAAACCTGGCGTACAAACCACTCGGCCACAGAGTTCATCAATAATAAACATTTAAAAAGTGTTGCTGCAATGATTTTAATAATTGTTCCATTTAAATGTTGATACTGACCTTATCTTTTTCTTTTAGTTTTTCTCTTTTTTCTTTCTCCTTTCTTTCTTTTTCCCTCTCCTTTTCTTTCTTCTTTTCCTTCTCTGTTATCTCTTTCTGCTTGACAGCATCGTCCAATACTTTCTCTTTGTCGCGAGATTTCTCTCTTTTCTCTTTACTTTTGGTTGGGAACTTGAAGGATTTTGTCTTCTTAGATTTTGAGGGACTCCTAAAAAAAATAAATGCATTCACATATTTAACAATGTCCAACATCTGATTATGCATAAGTTAATTAAGTAACTGAAGTATACTAGCTTTACAACAACATTATATTTACATAAAGTGCCAAACAGTATTTCTAATAATAAGTGTCATACATAAGTCAGAGATTCTCACAAATGTGTGTGAAGAAAATGAGTGTGTATTATGTGATAAATTACTGGAACATTAATGAAAACAAGTAATCGAAAGTAAACAAGAATGGAAAACTAAGTCACATGATAAAGGGGACTGTATTTGAAAAGAGTAACAGCAATAAGATAATGTGCATTTGATTATTATTAGAAGAAAACAAAATTAACTCACTTTGTGTCTGTATCCTCTTCTGGGGAACTTTCACCTTCTAGGGCAGCATAACCTCTATCTTTCTTTGACTCCTTTTTCTCTTTTCTACGACCCAACAAATCTTTCTTACTTGGCTTTTCATGTTCTCCACCATCACTGACTGTAAATTGTTAGTAAATTTTGGATTTTGTGTTTTTAAATATCTACTTGAAACTACTGTTTCAACTTCTAATACCTGTTAAACTGGTATTAGAAATTGAAAAGGGTTATTGAAATTATAAAGTTTAGAGTCAAAATTATTTCGTAAATATTCTAGTTACTTAAATTATTAATTTATGAATGAATAATTAACAACGGTATAACATTCGACGAATTAATGTTCCCATGAAAATACTTACAGTCACTTTCGTTACTTTTGCGACCGGCTTCTGAGGCGTATAAGCCCGGAAAGTCTTTCTCTACATCTGGGCTTTCAAAATCCATTATTTTGATAATTTATAAAAATGTATTTACAACACCATCGCAATAATTTGTTTTGTTGGTATTTTTTTGCGATTCCCCCTTTTCACGGAAAGCAAAGAGAACAAGGTCCATACAGCCTAGCTTTAAATTTGATTTATCTTTTTTTACATTAAAATGTTGGTGTGACGCATTCTGTTTCTTGGAATGTTTGGCACAAACTAGTTTTAAATATAATAGTTTAATGGCCTTAGATGAAATCCATACAACCAATTCTTCAGTATTATTTTATTTCAGATTTATCTTTGTTCTTCACGAGTATCTTTTTTTTTACAAGTATACAAATGTAGCGGAGATGAAATCGTATAATTTTATATGTTTCAAAATTCTTGAGAATAAATGGCAAGAGGCGGGGAATGTCATCATCTTTAAACAGTGTCAGTAGACCATCTACTAAAATAATTCTTTGTTTTGAGGTTTTGTTGGTAAATATGACAATGGTGTCGATTCTGGCGTGATTCTCTAAACTTAAAATTAAATTTAACATCAGTCTCTCTTTTTCATTCTGTATAGAGAACGACAAGGAAACAATGGTATCAATTCTGACATGATTCTCTAAACCTAAACTTAAATTTGACAACAGTGTATCCTTGTTATTCTCTATACAGCATGAAAAGGAGAGACTGATGTTAAATTTAGATTTAAGTTTAGAGAATCACGCCAGAATTGGCACCAATGGTGTCGATTCTAGCATGTTTCTCTAAACCTAAACTTAAATTTGACAGCAGTATATCCTTGTCATTCTCTATACAGAATGAAAAGGAGAGACTGATGTTAAAGGACAATGCTCACAAATGTATGAAAATGAAACCCAGGCCCGGCGCAAAAGAAATGTATCTCAGATTTTTAGTATTAATATGTAACAAAATATTAAGTAGGAGGCGTTGTCAAAATATATTTCTAAATGCCATAAATTGCTAGTTGTTTTTTGTAAGGAGCTAAACTTGAGAGATAAAAAATGGGGGATTGAGACCTAAGTATGACATTTAGTCATCTATTCTGATAACCCTTAGCCAAAAAACAGCAGTAAATGAAACTATTTTTATTATTAAGTACATAATATTATTATTACAATATGCCTTACAATATTATTGGTTTTCTAAGTCTAGGATTACATCTTCCAAAGTGTGTCCAGGATGATTGAAATCATCTTGGTGTCTGGCCCAACCCAAGTAATACAGCACACTCATAACATGGGCGCAGCTGCCCAAAGTCCTTTTGCCGTGGATACAGGAACAATAATGCTCTGAGATCGCATTTATACCAACTCCTCTGTACAAAACATACGTATAGTAAGTTTTGTTTCGTACATGTCGAGATTGTATACGGCATCTTAGCAAAACACTGTCTTCGCCATTTATTGCAAGCAACACCGGATGTCTGTACACTTCAATTTCATAGACACCTGTTTGTTTTATATGCTCACTGCAATATGAGCGTGCTATTTTACAGTGGTAAGTGCCCACGGCAAACAATATCAAATCCTCTTGCGACAATCTGGGGAAATCTTCGAACGCCTGGTCATTCGCTGATAAGCGCACAAACGCGGCTCTTTGTCTGTTTAAGTTGTGCTCTAAAACGTAGTCCGCCAAAAGATTTGGCTTGTGCGCTTTTCTATTTATAATCTCAATAAATCGCTCGGTGTATTGACTGTCATCATAGGGCTCTTGGAACGCATTGATAAGCGCTGCGGCTATCTTATAGTCTGTCATTGTTGAGGGCAATGATCGATTAAATACCCTGTATCTAAATATTTTAAAGTCGCGTTTAAATCTTCCATTGATTGTTTCGACAACCCAACGGCACAAGGTGACCAGCCTAGACTTATTGGCTTCTTCACATGTTAGTTGGCTTTCACCATGCCTTTTAGTTGGAGGCATATGGACTACATAGCCATACGTCTCGAGAAGCGGAATTGCATCACGGAATCCCCTGTCAAGAATGAATGAATCGCCTTGTTCCAGGTAATAATTAAGTGGTGCCTCTTCATCTGGTCCTTCATGATTTTGTAGTATCTGCTGCATGATTGAAGCATCTGAGGTTGTGGCTGCGTACGGACCTGTGACATCTAAAATATGTCCATCACCGCAGACCAACATAAAAGGTTTGATGAGATTTGTATATTTGTGGAGACTGTAGCTTTTCCTTTGGAAAAGGAAATTGGAGCTTTTTTGAATGAAAATGTAACTACCATCACATATTATCAACGCTTTCGGCGCTAGGTCGTTTCCAAATATGTAGTTGGGAAGAATTCGGTTTCTTTGGATTACTTCTTCTCTGCTAATGTGGTCAAGGCTCAGATGTAAAGGAACAAAATCATTGCGAATACATTGTCTCACCAATTTGACTTTTCGGTCTATACTTTGCCGAGATTTATTGAAAATCGTTGCCAGTCTAGTACTGGGTTCGCCTGTTCTTATTTTAGAGAGGTAAATGCCTAGATCTTCTCGTGCAGATCTTGATGTGTTAGACAAGGTCGGTACTTGCGCGAATAGAGTATTGAATTGTTCGTGACGCAAGCCAGTCCAGAAATGCAAATCTTCTTGTGCTATTTCGTCTATATTATCGAAATCCAGTAAACATCTCCGTTCCAGTGCTCGGGTATACATATTCACAATATCTACAAAAGTGTCACTATTAAAGTCTGTTTGATGATGTGACACATTGTTAAGCATGTCTTCCAAGGGTGTGTTAAGTAGATGATTTTCACAAATCTTTGCATGCTGTGGTATGTATAGACGATAGTAACTGAGTAAAAATATCTTGATTGAATTAGGCATTAGCCGGAGTTGCATGTTACCACAGTTCTCCATCAAACAACGACGGGAAGTGTTGGCCGCTCTTGTGAAACCTGGAACTGTGATTGCAGCGTCAGCGCGACGGATAGGAGGCTCTGGCGGTTCAGGACGTAAGGTTTGGTCAATTCTATGCCAACAAGGATGGCATAACGACATTGTTCCGTCGAAAGCTAGCTGTAACAAATAATTATATGTTATTGTGATAAGGAACGTGACGATAGTGCACACGTGTCCGATTAAGGAAAGGCTATCATCGCGCGCCTAGTACCTTCCCCACATATCTACACGTCTACGATATATAAGATGTATGTAAGGTTAGTTGAAGGATAGAGAAATATAGAGATCGTCGTAACAGACAGTATTGTGGTTTGTCTTATACCTTCCCGCCGGGCTGACCTATTATGACCTACTTGAAAGTACGTAGGTACACAAATAAAAAATAAATAAACAATGATGTTGTCTTACCTCTCGTAGCGGTTGCAAGTACTGGAAAATCCGCTCAGCCAAGTCTCTCCGGGAATCGAAAAAACGTTGAGTCAAAACGTGTCTACGAACACCTCGGTACAGTGAACGATCACACACAACACACCTGTTCATTTTAAAAAATATTTATTTGATTTCAGGCGAATATAATTATTTTTATCTTAACTACGCAAGGGTTGGTGCCTGAAGATCGCCTCTTGTATGGAACCTTCTATCAAAAGACAGATGATTCCTTTTTTTTTTTTTTTTTTCTGTATGGCTTCGCACGGTTTGTGCATTTAGCCAATGTCAAGTGTAAAATGTTTACATATTTTATAGCACTCGTGGTCAAAATATTAGTCAAGTCAAAGTAAGTGGCAGTCAAGTCAATACCCCTTTCCCTATGTTTCAGTAAATGTGTGGGGATTTACTGGAACCTCCCCGTGGACTTCTTGAGGGAACGTCGAAAGACACCTTCCGCTATTTTGTTTCACTTGCCAACACTTGTGCATGTTTCCGAACACTTAGTGGTTAATAATCCACCATTATTAGACACTAACATCCGCCACAACACAATTTTTAACAAGAAAAACAAAACTGCTAAAGTGACGCTTCCCGATCCCGCCAAAAAGTCAGATGATTCCTTATTTCAAATCTTAAAATCATGACATTAACTTTTTAATATAACTGCCAACCGTAGGCATTGCAAGAACAAAGAGTTTACCTAAACAAGGAGGCTGTAATGTAACGGACGTTACACTACCTGATAAGGTTCGAAAATACAGCGAACCTATGAGTGCGAGTGAAATAGCAGTTGAATGTTGGTTCGTTTTTGATGTGACGGAAAGGCTTTGGTTTGATTTCTATGAACATCATTCAAAATCATCATTTACACCCGTAAAAAAGAATTAGCAAAATGTTACGTTTAGAAACGAATATTGACTAAGTTTTTTATTTAGTATTAAATTACTAGTTTTTACTAATCAAATGAGATATGTTTCGTTTGCGCCGGGCCTGGGTATTTTTTGAGCATTGTCCTTTAGTTTTAAGTTTAGAGAATCACGCCAGAATTGGCACCACTGTTGTCAATTTAAGTTTAGATTTAGAGAATCGTGCCAGAATCGACACCATTGACAACCAATTGTCAGTGTTGCCACTTTAGTTTTGAAAAAAAAAATACATACGACTAGGAATATTGCCATTCTGGGCATATTGGGAATATTGCCCACGTAGGTATATTTGAATATATATTTTTTTGAAATCGCTTTATAAGACTTTTGTTTGTTATACAGAACAATATATTTGTTCTATGTCATAGTTCATTTATTTACTGCTCAGTCCTCTTCTTCGCTGGTCCTGTTACACAAACAACGTGGTGGTTTATATTCCATACAATGTGAAAGACGGTGCCCTATCAGTGATGAAATGAAAAAGCAGCTGATGATGATCATTAAGATAGAAACTTCGGTGTTGTATAACCTTGATAAAATTAATGGTTGATAGGTATTTGGCTGCTTGTGAATCTGAAACCATCCGGCCAGTGACCTATTTAATGTACCTACCATATGAAAAAAAAAATTCTTTGACGGTATCAGTAGTCTATTGTCTATGGCAGTTGTTAATTTTTTGCCTCTCAGCTGTACGTAATCACGTGTGGATTGCCGGCATTACATCAGAATAGCCAACAGTTAGAAAAATTGACAGTGACAGAAAAACAATGAATGTTTACTTACGTGTCAAATTTATCTTGTCATAAAAATAGTAAAAAAATATTCATAAATTTGAAATTAACTCAACCAATACTTCAATGATTTGGTAGGTAATGTTTTCATTATATTAGTTTTGATGCTCATTATACTTTTTTGTTTAAAATTTTAATTTAGCTAAGTACCCGTAAGTAGCTAGTTCTAATCACAACTTTCTCCATCAACTATAATTTGGTGAAATTGCATTTAAGAATTAAATTTATCACAATGTCGTGGTTCGCGGACCTCGCCGGGAGAGCGGAGACCCTACTGACGAACCTGGATGAGCAGACCGGCGCGGCTCTGCGCAACCACAACGTAGTAAAGCCCAAGAAACTCGACAAGCACGATTATGGTCTCATCAAGGAGCCGCCTTGGGCGCAGAAAAAGCGTCCGACAGCGCGTAACTTGAAAAAAGTATCAATAGCCACGGAGACGAAATCCAGTAACTTCGTACCAACCAGAAAGTCGTCTCCTACTTCTCACGCCTCAGCTCGTCAGTCAAGATCGCCCGTCAAGGACACTTTAGAATATATCAGCCGACCCGCTAGTAAGAAATCCCCAATGAGAAATCCAATAAACCAATACAGTTTAGAACAATGCCCAAAAACACTAGTGGGAGATTTAATAGACAATGAAGTAGAAGACCAGTATTGTTTGAAGCAGCGTCGTGAGTAAAATTAGTTCATTCATCTTTTAAATGTCTTATTAGAGGTGTCTTTACCGAGGTATATGTCTTATTAGAGGTGTCTTAAGAGAGGGTATTGCCGATTTTTTGTCTCAAAGTGGGGAGTCTTTCTAGGGAAGTATCCGCCTTATTACTGAGAATCATAATAAAATAACATTTCCTTTTGGTGGTGTTGTGTTTCTGTTGGTAAGTAAGGTTCCAGGGCTCCACAGGGTAGTGGATTGGATCAGGGTATGCTAAAAAAATACAAAACTGCAAAATATTGTTATGAAAGGATCCTTTGCAATAGGGACTGCTTCATAATTCTTAAATTCTGGATTTAACTTTTCCATTGTACATAAACAGTTCAATAAGTATATCAATTACATTTGCATCTGATTAATTGAATGACTAACTGCAAGGGAATAAGCAGCTGGAGTATATTAAATTATTAACCTCCTGGCAAGAAATTCTATTTGTTGACCAAAATAATTGTCTCTTTAAATTCCTACAATAAAAGTATACTCAATCTCTCTAGCATATTTCTTTGCACCATTAACATTTATTTGGGTACTGATTTTATATAAATCTTTGAAAATATATGTTGTTCACTATAGCTGCTGATGCCAATATTTATTTATAGAAAAGAATAGAATAGAATATAATTTTATTAACCCTCTTAACACATTACAGATACAAAATAAAAAAAAAACCTCAGGGCTAACCAGGACCCTGCATCAGCATTAGCTGATGCGACATTGTGTCGCACCAGCGCTGTTATTCTGGCAGGGCCTGTTTAGTGACACAAAAAAAAAGACATGTAAAAAAATTTTATTACTTGAAAGGATGTATGGACTTAACATCCTTTGCTTATTTTGGGATATCAGTAATTTAATCTAGGTTTTTTCCTTTTCAGGATTTAGTTTACCAGCAGATTTAGAGTTACTAAGCAGTCATGAAGTGACTTACAAAATGCAAAATTTGGAAATTGAAAATGCAATGTTGAAAAATGAACTCAATGTGATGAATAGAGAAGTATCAGAGTTGCTTGACCGTCTGAGGAAGACAGAGGATGGTAATATTGTACATGATGACCTTAGTAAGGAGTTATTTTTGATATTCAGCATGTTATCATACTAATTAAAGGGAAATGGGTTGTTGATAACCATCTCGGATGAACTAATTAGTAACATATCTTGCCTTATCTAACAAATTGCTTTTGAGTAACAGATATTGGGAAATAATAATCAGATGGTGTAATTCAACTTAGATGTTCCTGTTGATTTATATGTATTTTTCGGCCTCTTTAACCCATACTAATATTATAAATGTGAAAGTGTGTTTGTCTGGCTTTCTGACTGTTACCTCTTCACACATAAACTGCTGAACTGATTTAGATAAAATTTGGTATAGGAATAGTTTGGGTCCTGGGAAAGAATTTCACCCTTTGAGGGGGTGAATAGGGGTGTAAGTTTGTATTAGAAGCCATTTATTCCTTCCAGATGAAGTTGTAGACACCCACTTTTTCATTATATGCCACACTATTAATCCTATTAATATTTTCATCTTGGAGACTTCGCATTCCTGTATTACCAATAAAAATATACAAATAAAATATAACAGAACTCAAAGGTATATTGGGTCCTAACTCACTGGATTAGATAGGGAGCTCGCTATAAAAACAACAGAAAGTAGGATGGATATTATGATTAAAGATATGGTTTTTGTTTTCCTAGAATTAAACAAGAAGCAGTTACAATTGGATAGTACAGAACTTCAAAACAAGAAACTTGCCTTAGATATGGAAGCACAAAACTCACAGCTTGTTCAATTGAAGCACAAAATCTATGAGATTACAAATAATGAGATTATGAGGCATAAAGCAGAAAGTGATACAATGGAGACTGAGATTGGTCTACTGAAAGAACAAAATGAAGATTTGGAAGAAAAGTATGTTCAAATTTTTCATCTTATGAGTTGATATCTTTATAGCAAAGTCTCAAAATTGAGATTGTATTGAAAACATTATAAAAAGTACTCTGTTATTTTAAAATTGCAAAGGATATTTGTTTATAATGGTTCTTAAAATTGCCATCCTCCTTCTTTATGAGTTTATTGGTGTAGTAATTAATGAACTGAAAGAGGATAAAATGTTTGCATATTATTAACCACCAACAAGTGTCTTATGTTTTACCCTTCCAAATATATGTCTTGGAAATTTGCGATAATTAATTACAACTATGACTAATTTTCCCACTTGCTCTAGATTAAAGCAAATTACTGAGGCACTCAACGAAAAAAAATCTGCACAAATTAAATTAGAAAACGACTTGCGGCATTCACAATCCGCTATTAGCGAACTTCAGATGAACTTAGAAAAGTCCACAGCGGAATGCCGTCGATTAGAGAAAGACTGGGAGGCGTATAAATTGAGGGTGAAAGGGATGTTATTTGCCAAAGACAATGAAATTAAAGCGTTACAAGATGGCGTCACCGTGACGGAAGACACTAAAAGTTTGATGGAACAGTTGGAAAAGCTGAAGTAAGACCTTTTTGGCAACTTTCTGTAATATTTTTTTATTACATTTATACCTATATTCGCTCTGAAGAAATATTCAACATTCATACTTTGAATACTGTGAACTTCAATTCAATATTAAATTTAGAAGAATTCCTAAAATTCATTTCAGCAGGCGCTTTTTACTTAAATGCCGTTATTGTGAGTTTCTGTTAGTCTAAATGTTGTTTACTGTAACTACGGGCTATTTCAGCCCATTTTTTGGAAAGAAAGTGCTGAGCTAAAACCTCATAATTGTTTACATTTTCATTTATACAATTTTCTTACCATAACCGAATTGTAATAGTAAGAAAATACTACACATTCTATAGTTTATCACAAATATTACATTAAATTACTTCGGTTATAACAGGGAAGAGCGTGACGTTCTATCAGAATCGGTATCGCGTGTACAAAGCGAATATGAGGACCTCAAACAGCATGTTGATCAATTGGAAACTAGGCACACATCTGCTGAAAGAGTGGTCGGTGCCTTAAGGGAAGCATTGAAAGATGAGAGAGCTGCCAATAACAGGGCCGAAGCACAATACTTGGAACTGGGAAAGGTAAAATATTATTTATCGTAACTAGCGAAAACCACAGACGAAATTCAAGTCGTTGTTTAACTATATTCGTGTTGAAATCGTCGTGAAAGTAGTGTCAGCGTCGCGAAACTACTAAAAATCCACTAAAATAGTTCGAAAATATCGTTGCTACGGCGGCTAACGCGATGCTATAGTAGGATTAATTAAATCTTCGACTTGCACTAACTTCACCGCCCGCCATAAGACTGTGAAGTTAGCGCAAGTCGCGGTGTAGTAAACGAAATGTAGGTGATACAGATATCGCTGCTAACTTCACAATTGCCATAAAGTTTGGTCTCACTATCCTTTCGTAAATGTAAAACCGACTTCATCTAACCTTTAATATTTCAGGAGATGAAAGCGTTACAAATTGAGACTGGCCAGACGATCGCCAGTTTACGTTCAGCGTTGCGAGATAAAGAGAGCGAAATAAACCAATTACGAAAAACCTCCTCGGTTCAAATGTCAGATACGAGTGCCCTGAACGTAGCAGATTATGACGTCACGCAGGAGTCCATAGACAACGACCGAGTTCATTATCTGACTGAGGCTCTGGTGCAGAAACAAGGCAAAATTGACAGTCTATTAGCCGATAACAACATACTGAAAATACAATTGGAGAAGTTGGAGGTAAATATATCTTTATTATTTAGAGTTCCTCCGTGGTTCGGAAGGCACGTTAAGCTGTTTGTCACGGCTGCCTGTCGTTAGTACCCAGCACTCCGCACTGGGCCCACGTGGTGGGACAGTGCCCAAATCCCTATTCCACCCATAGGCAAGGCCTGTGCCCCAGTCCTCACTACATTAATAGGCTGATGACGAAAGCTCGTTGAAAAAGTGCTTACGTAAAAAAGAAAACTTATGGCTATCGTATTCTTTCGTATCAGCGTTTTTTTTTAGGGTTCCGTACTTCAAAAGGAAAAAACGGAACCCTTATAGGATTACTTTGTTGTCCGTCCGTCCGTCTGTCAAGACCGTTTTTCTCGGGAACTCGTGGAGGTATTAAACTGAAATTCATATCTAATACTCAGGTGTACTGTCCCTTGGAGCTGCGAAAAAATGAAACTTCTAAGCCAAAACAATTAAAAGATACAGCCGTTTATGCCGCAAATTTTCGAAACTCGCACGGTAATCAAAACCTGCGGGGTACTTCCCGTGAACTTAGAATCTTAAAATTTGGTATAAAGTAACGTCTTATAGTAAAGATAAAGGAAAACTTGCGTACCATAAATTTTTAGTCACATCATATAATAAAAAATATTTTTTAATAATTACTAAAATATACCTACAGGTTTGTTTATTAACACAGGAATTTTATGTTGAACAGCGTTGTTTTAAAATCTGGGTGTTAAAAGTAAAATTTAATATAGAGAAACCTCAGGATTTTACGCGCGTACGCAAAGCGCCTGTGCTATCGAGGAATTACGAATCGTTACGACGTCACCAAGGCGGGAAGTTTAAACGGATATTCGATTTTTTACGGGTTTTGCCTGGTTCCGTTCGCCCTATTCGTAGTTGGTGCCTTTTAAACCAGGGATGCACAGACTTATTAAGACTAGGGGTCACTCGGGTAAATCATGGATTGATGGCGGGCCGCCAGAAGTATAGATTATTAAAGACAATAAAGAATGGATAATAATTTATTAAAATTTAAATAGAATTTATTAATTTGAAGCGTGGCACTGCATATTGCTTACATTTTTTTTTATATTTGGCTCAAATTTACTTGTAGCAACACGTAAAACTGCTTCCAACCTTTCATTTGCAAGGCGGTTTCGATTTTTTGTTTTATTATTATTTAGTATTGAAAAAGATTGTTCACATAAATAGGTAGAACCAAATAAGCTAGCACATTTCAGAGCTTTTATGCGCAACTCTTTGTACATATTTTTATCAATGCAGCGGTAAAAGTTCAGCAAGTCTCCAGTCTCCATTCCGTTAGATTCTACTCTAGAATCCTTCACTTCGCTCTGGATTCAAAAAAGCGCCCTCGTCGCAAAAATGTTATTTTACACCCTAATGATACAATCTACTATTAAAACATATTTTTTTTGGTTTTATTCTGGAATAGAATTCAATATTTTTCGAATGTACGAGAGTATTGTTTTTGCTGTCGGCGGGCCACCAGTATTAGACCGGCGGGCCGCGGTCTGTGCATCCATGTTTTAAACCGACTCCTAAGATAAGAGAGTATTTATGTCAAACTGTTTTTATTTTATATTTGCCGTTCCGTTAAAATAAGTTGGCTAAGTGAAATTATTCTAACTCTATTAGACGGGTAAGGTTTGGTTTCATCAGTCTTATTCATAGATACAAAGAATGAACTACTAATGAATACTCGCAATACTCGCATGAAATCAACCACGTTCTAGAAGAAACAGAGAAAGAGAAGAAAGCGACCGGGCTGATTAAACCTTTGCGAACTACTCGATTGCTCTGTCCCTCTCGCACTTGAATATGTATACGCTTTTGGACCCAGTGGCGTAGCATAGGTCACTAGCACCCGGTGCGGATTCCAAATTTGCCGCCCTCTTATTTTTGCAATCCATTATAAAAAAATTGAGGCATGGTAAAAAGAGTACTTTTATTGAATAACACTAACCTAAGAGTGAAATTATCATTTTTTGACATAGAGTAGAAGGTAGACTATCACAATATCACTTTTTTTTATATATTTTTTTTCTCTATCTGCCACCTCCGCAGCGCCGCCCCCGGCAAAGTGCCGCCCGGTGCGGACCGCACCCCCCGCCCCCCCCATGCTACGCCACTGTTTGGACCGTAAACATTTTCTGACGGGTGTAAATGGAAAAATCCTATGGAAAAGACGAAACGCAAATGCGTCACGAGCGTCACACGCGACTGTCCCAGCGAACTTCGTACCGCCATAAAGCCATAAAAAATAGGGGTTGGTGGTAGAAGGGTGAAAATTGTATGTATTTTTGTATAAAAATAAAAACAAAAAATTTTGTCGACAAAAAAAAGTAAGGGTGGACCCTTAACATTTAGGGGGATGAAAAATAGATGTTGTCTGATTTTCAGACATACTGAATATGCATATAAAATATCACGAAAATCGGTCGAGCCGTTTCGGAGTAGTTCAGTTACGCACACCATGAAACGAGAATTTTATATATTAGATCGTGCGCTGCTCCATTCCCCTATGTCTAATGTTAGGTTATAAGAGTTTCACTTCAGATGTGTGGTCGGTGCAAATTATTTAAAAAAAATATATATATTACTATACAAAATATACTACTATTTTATACTTCAGGAGCTCGATGGCGCAAGTGGTTAGCGCGTTCGGCTACGATCGTTGAAGTTAAGCAACTTTCGCCGTGGTCGGTCATTGGATGGGTGACCAAAAATTTACTATCTCGAGCTCCTCCGTGCTTCGGTAGGCACGTTAAGCCGTTAATTCGCACTGGGCCTGCGTGGTGGGTCATGGCCCAATTTCCCTATTCCATCCATAGGGAAGGCCTGTGCCCCAGCAGTGGGGACATTAATAGGCTGATGATGATGATAATGATTTTATACTTACTATTATGGAACTGTTCTTTGTATATTTATTTGCGTCACCAAATCGAACTCGCAAATTTTTGTATAAAGGTCGAATGTGTATTAATTTTAATTACAAATGAATTCCATGTTTTTAGTTTATCCATATTTTTTGTCCTTGACTTTTAACCGTAAGGTCAGAAAGGTGGATGTCTATACTGAATGTGTATTTTTTGTCTAGTTTGCACTCGAAATTTTTTAACTAATATTCTTTTTGCTGATACTCAGACATTTGATTAAATCTTCATTTATCTAATTTGACTTTACATAAGTGAACTTATTTCGTCAATTTTCCTCTTATTTTGTTATTGGAATTTAATCAGAATTTATCTAAATGACATTTTTAAACAGCTGGTCGTTTTGTGATATGCATAATGGGAACTAATAATAATTTGAGTAATCTGCATAATTATAAGTAAGGTATCTTTTTTAATTTTTACCCGATATATGATAGGTTGTAGATTAAATTGCATCTTTGAGAATATTAAAGGAATAAAAGTTATTAATTCATAAAAAAACATTCATTAACAATATTTTTATTTAAATTGGAATGTCTTTTTGCTGTATCTTATAATTCAAGATTACTAGAGTATAATAATATATGCGTTAGTTTGATGTCAGCTCAATAAATTTAAATTAATTATCAAGTGAAATTAGAAAAAACTACAGTGGACGGTTTTTCGAAAATAATCACAATGGCGGACCGACTAAACTGCAAAATCTTATTTTTTTTAATTTGCCTAACCTGTTGGGTTTTTATTAGTTTAAAGCTTGTATAGTATGCCTGCGACACGATATAATTAAAGTTAAGTGCTCACAAGATTTATGCGATGTACCGGCCACAATCCTTATAAGGGCTAGTTCAACATAATTATTTTTATTAGCATAACTAAATAGGACTTGTTGACGAAGTGATTGCAATCTTAATATGTATAAACTGAGCAAGTTCAAAGATGACGTTTCCCGTCCTATTCACAAATTATACTCTGTCATACAGTTTTCATCATCATCACCGGCACAGGCCTTCCCTATGGATGGAATAGGGAGTTTGGGCCACGACCCACCACGCGGGCCCAGTGCGGATTGGTGGGTGCTTACGACTCCAGATGCAGCCGGGACCAACGGCTTAACGTGCCTTCCGAAGCACGGAGGAGCTCGAGATAGTAAAAATTTTATTTGGTCATCCATCCAATGACCGACCACTGTGATAGTTGCTTAATTTCAACAATCGCGCTAACCACTAACACTTACCTCAAAAGAAAAAAACGGAACCATTATAGGATCACTTTGTTGTCCGTCCGTCCAGACCGCTTTTCTCAGGGATGCGTGTAGGTATCAAACCGAAATTCATACCTAATACTCATATCTACTGTCCATTGCAGCTGTGAAAAAAATCAAACTTATAAGCCAAAGCAATCAAAAGATTCAGCCATTTATGCCGCAAATATTCGAAACTCGCACAGGAAACAAAACCTACAGGGTACTTCCCGTGAACTTAGAATCTTGAAATTTGGTACGAAGTAACGTCTTATAGTACAGATAAAGGATTTTTTGCGAAAACCGTAAATTTTTAGTTACATCATATAATTATAAAATATATTTGAAAATTTTAAAGTTACTACCTCTTTTTATTGAACGCGTAGAGGTAAATTGAGTTTGTACGGAACCCTCGGTGCGCGAGTCCGACTCACACTTGGCCGGCTTTTTATTGTACGAATGCGTTCTGTACCCTGTACTTTTGGCGGTTTGGGACAATGTAAATGAAACACTAACTGCGATCATAATTTGGCAGAGAATGTTTTTTTTAGTTAATGAATAAAGATAGACTCATTTTTTTTTTAATTTATTGGCAAAAGATAGACTCATGTACTCATTGGGTTGTCTGGGAGAAATCGCTCATTAGCCCTTTGTGCAACATTGTATTTTCTACTTTGTTTTGTTTTCTGCTTGTTTTGTTACTGTGTTGTGCAATAAGGAGTTTTTATCTTATCTTATAGGTATACCCGAAACCAGAAGCGTGATTTGTATTCTACATGTTTTGCTCAATTTAGTTTTAAGTACTCGCGTCTTGCATTATAGTTCTTTGTTTGCACTCGCAAACTTAGGTAGATTGACGACCTCCGTGGCCGAGTGGTTTATACGCTGGGTTTCATGGTGTCGCCGACTCGAGAGGTCCCGGGTTCAAATCCCGCATATCCCCCCACATTTGTACTCCGATATAAATATACTTATATATGTACATTATATGTATTCTATCCGTTACCCTAGTATCTCATAACACAAGCCTTACAGTGCTTACTTTGGGGCTAGGCTAATTGGAGTGAGTGTTGGAAATATATATATACATATACATCATCATCATCAGCCTATTAATGTCCCCACTGTTGGGGCACAGGCCTTTCCTTTCGATGGAATAGGGAGATTGGGAATATTGATTATTTGATATGATATACATACATATATATAATAACTATTTTTGAAAACTGCAAAAATAAGAAAGAAACGTGATTTATATGTAATTGACGACTTCCGTGGCCGAGTGGTGTGTACGTCGGGTTTCGAGGTGTCGCCTATTCAGTGTCGTCCCGGGTTCGAATCCTGGGGGGCAAATGTTAGTATAGTGCGATTCAAATAAAGATAGGAAAGCCAATGACCTCCATCTGTCAAATGTCACTTCAAAAGTAGGATTTGCAAAAAAATCTTGAAACCCCTTTTAGCACTCAGCTAATTCTAGAATAAAAACCAAACATTTGTAAACAAACAATAACAAATATTGATAATTAATATTGGTGGATTTTTTTTTCATTTATTGACCGTTGGCTATGAATGGTTGACCTAAATCGTCAACCATATGTCACTTTAAGTTGCGTTCAGAAATTTCATTTAAAACTTTCGTTTACATAAAGATGTATGTTCGTATGTGACCTAGTAATAGTGCATGATTATTCATAAGTATTCCGCCGGTAATGCAGAGATGAGCGAAATTGAAGAGCTAGATTCTGATAAATGTTTTTTCTCACACAGTTTTAATAAATGAATATTTTTAAAAATTGGTTAAATAAATTTTATTAAAAAATCTGATGTTTTTCTCACTTAATCTTAGTAAATAAGTTTTATTAAATAAAATTTTTTTGTTCACTCTACCTATTTGGTTTGAATTGCTGAGCTATGACGTCACAATATGGCGCACAGTCGGTCCTATTCTTAGTTGAATCGCATTATATGCTGAATACATGCATTTGTACCTAAGTCAAGAATGTTTATATTTATTTCTTAATAAAATAATGTATGAGTAATTGTATTCTATCCGTTACTCTAGTATTCCATAACCAAAACCTTTCAGTGCTTACTTTGGAGTTAGGCTAATTTTAGTGTGTGTAAGAAATATTTATTATAAAATTGTAACTTCTTTACGCACCCTTGACTTGGGGGGTAAGCTGGCGAATGCGTTACGCAAAGTGTGTTCGTGCGAGGCGAACGGGAGTTGAGTGGGGGATATAAGTGTACCATATATACATGTATATTTCATTTACTCTTTCTCTTGTAGCTAGTAAATGAAATATACATGTATATATGGTACACACACACACACACACACACACACATATATATATATATATATATATATATATATATATATACACATACACATGGAGCTAAAGAAGTTTCACTTCAGTCGTGTGGTCATAAGCACACTTGTGTTTTTTTTATTGTACAGACGAAATACAAGACGGAGTTGCTTTCGTCGCAAGCGCACAAGAACCACGTGGTCCATTTGCAAGACAACGAGCGTCGTACGCGCAGTCACGCTACAGTGTCGCCGCTGTCCGGAATGTCGGTGAAACTGGGAGTTATGATGAAACGAAACCCGGTGTTTAGGATGTTCATTGTGGTTTATATGGTGAGTGATGAAGTTTTGTCAAATTTCTTGTCATTTCTTTAACAGCTAAATTCAATAATCTATTAGAACTAGTGTCGCGCGCGCAGTCACGCTGAACTGAAATGAACCCCACATCTCTAAATCCGGCCCTGCCTTTCGTTGTTTTTTTTTATAGTTCCTGACATCACCTACTTTCAATAGGAAAGTTAGAAAGCAAAAAGTTTTGTTTGAGACAAAAATACAACAGGAAAATAATAGCAAAACACACACATCTAAATTTCGTTTTAAAATATCCCAACTTAGCATATTTCGAATCTTTTTGCCATGTTCTTTTAGTACAAATCTCACTTCCGCACCCACTTACGATCAGCAATACTTAACATATATTTACGCACATTGGAGCATAGGAGTTCGATACCGCGAGTGTTTAGCGCGTTCGTTGAAGCTAAGCAACTTTCACAGTGGTTGGTCATTAGATGGGTGATCAAAAATTAACTATCACGAGCTCCTCCATACTTCGGAAGGCATGTTAAGCCGTTGCTGCATTTGCGGTCGTTAACACCCGCCAATCCGCACTGGGCCCGTGTGGTGGGTCATGGCCCAATCTCCCTATTTCCATCCAAAGGGAACGCCTGTGCCCCAGCAGTGGGGACATTAATAGACTGATGATGATGACACACATTGGGATTGGATCAAGTTACTGCTTGAAATCTATATTGATGTTAACTTAAATTAACTTGGTTAGTAGAACGTTTACTAAGACAGGCACCAGTTTGAATGTGGCCAGAGGCCGAGTCGTGATCATTTGTAGTTCATTTTTATTTCGATCATGTACCTAAGTGACATAAAAAAGAGAAGAAAAGAAGCTACCGATGGCGTAGCTTCTTGACCTTCACCAGTGCTTGTAACAGTCTAGACTGAATAAATGTATTTTGATTGATCTAGATTTTGATTTTAAAGGATTATGAAATCTATTAAAAATGTTAAAAGGTACACATTTCTTTGCAGATCGGTCTTCATCTTTGGGTTCTTACAGTACTTTTGACCAGTACACCAGACGGCCACATGACGCGCAATGTAAAGACGTGAGGCAAATTTTAGTCAGTAATCAAATACGAAAAATTCTGTTTACAAATAATAAACGTTCTTATTTTCTAAGGTTTATGTTTGCAATTCAATTGGTTAGGGTCGTCGTTCGGAGAAAATTGATTTTTCTTTGAATTTAATATTACTTTAGAACTAAATAAATATTTAACAGGTTCTTATGTAACAATATTTTTTTGGCAAATGACACATCATAGCTACAGATAATGCAAGCACGGCTAAAAATTACCTCTTTTCACCGAAATGCAATAATTCTTTGTAAAAAATGTAGGAAATAAGTTATTCAAATTTGGCGATGTGTTATTATTTGTAAACATAATTAACTAAAATAAATTTAAGCATAATTTTAATGACAGATGTCACAATGACAATAGAAGAAAAAATATTTAGACACGACAATATTACCAGTGAAAATTTTAAAATGCACACTTTTACATTTATTTTTGTATGGATATTTTTTTAATAATTTTGTAGGTTTTCACTACTTCACTTACACCAGACTCTGTCATAATAGTTCTAGGCCTTAGTATTATCTTAATGTTGAAGAAAAATAAGCGCAAAACAAAGCAATAAGCTGCAAATTCCAATATCATTAAGTAATCAGAGTGTGAAATTTAGTTTGAGATTATTTTTGTGAGTATTTTGGTGCTAGAGGTTTTGTATATAACATTTTATTATTAATGTATAAATTGTATATAAACTTTGAAAAGCAAGCGAATCTCCTTATTCGTCACGAAGCCATGGTATGTACCTTTGTAGAATTTGTAATTGCCAACCTGAAATAATAAATTGTTATGTATTTTGTAATTCTATTTTTTTATTGGTAACTTTGTTTGATTTTATCAGCAAAAGTTTTTGTTAGCTTTAAACTAAATAAAAGTAGCTAGTTTATAGAAAACAAAAAATTAATAACGGGTATATTATTGGTTGTCATTTTCAACCTGAATTATGAATAAGATGTTATGTATTATTTCATCGTATTCTTTATTGGCTAGCAATACAATTTTATTTGATTAGCAAACTAACATTATTTCATACATAAATTTATTTTTATTAATTAATATTTGATCAAAATTTTATTGCTGGTTATTCTATGATTTTGTATTGTATGTCAGTAATTATGGCCAGTTTAAAAATTGTTTTTCTTTGTTGGATGAAATTGTGGGTTATGACAAATAAAATTATTTGTATTACAAATCGGTTTTATTTTCTTTGTCCCTTGCAATCGAAGTGACTTTGTGCTAAAAAGAAAAGCCATGGTCCTTGAATCCTTGACACAAGACTCTTTTACCTGTTTGTTTTGGTATTTCTGCTGGTACGCTTATGTAATATTAATGTGTTTCATCGTTACGTGACGTAAGTGATATTATGGATTCATTATACGTACGAGGGGAGGTCCAAAAGTTCGTGGAATGAAAGTATTCTAAATAAATAAAACAAAACTATTTTTCCTTTTCAATATAATTACCCTTAAGCTTGATACAGCTTAATACATTTATTAGACCTATGAATTAATCTTTCTGAACCACTAAAATAATATTTTTTATCTTTTGCTTCAATATGAGCCAAAATTGCCTCCTTTACGTCATTCTCGTCGAATATAATAAATATGGGTAAAATAGTTAGATAATGATTGTTTCATGCTTTAGAATACAATTTCATAATCTTTCAACCTATCCTTGTTAAAAACTAGCTCCGAAGCGGGTAACTCGAATTTTTCGAAAAAATAAAATTGATCGGTTTTGTTAGATGATAGATTTTTTTTTCAGAAACGATTTTGTAGGGCTTTTCAGGAGCTATAAGACTATGTGAATTAAATTACTTAAGATCCCTTAATTTTCAAATGGGGAGAGTTTAAAGCGCTTGAATAAGGTGATGTTCGCTCGTAAATGTAGTTATTAAACGGCTTTATCTCGCCGATTATTCACTGTACAAAATATCTGCACACAGGGAAATTTTTGTCATTAAAAAAGCTACAATTTAGTACCATACCATTTTTTTCGTATCTTCAGTATTTTGGGAGATATTTTTAGAAAAGTGTAAAAACACGAAATTGAGAAAAACTCGTTTTCTCTTTAAACTACAATTTTTCTAAAATTAGGCATTTTATATTGCTCAAACTTCTTGGGTGTATTAATAGTACATATATAAAGATAAAACGCAGAAGGGTGGCGATTAATTTTAATTAGGGGGTACTTTGGGGGTTTCCACAGATGTTTTTCGTAGAAAAAGCGGATACCGATCTTATTTTCATCATAAGTCGGTCAATTTTCATGCTAGAGACATTTTTTTTCTTTGTTGAAGGCTCTAACTAAATACTTTAAAAAAGATTCTATGAGCTTTCTTCGAATAATGCAATTTTTTCTCGTTTTTTCGCTTTCAATCTTCCAATTTATGCATTTGACGAAAAAAGCTAAGCAGTAATTTGCTGTAGGATATAGTTAATAATGATACGAACTATAACTAAGATATAGTTCGTATTATTTGTCTTCATTGTTTTGTTGTCGTCTTGTTTGTTTTTTTAAAAGCTACAATTTAGCTCTCTTCACTTTTTTTGATAAAATCCATATTTTAAGAGTTATTCGCATAAAACCATTTAAATAAGTCGATTTTTTCGTCAAAAAACTGTTACTTTTTGAATGACTCAAAAAATATTAGATTTACGAAAAAAAACGTATTTAACGTTTTTTTCTCAGAATTACCTTTTCCGTCGATTCCTTTAGTTAAAATAAAATGTAATAAAAAATTTCCACCCCCGAGATGGGGTGGCAACCACCCCCAAGGCTCTAGCGTACAGCGGCATGATATAGACCTTTCTGTGAAAATTTCAAGTAAATCCATGGTGAACGAAAAAATTGCGAGCCAAAATGCTTCATTTCCTGGACTAACATGATTTTTGTGCAACTTGAACTGTTTACCCAGCGCATGCAACGAAAGCTCACAAATGGAATATTTTTACCCGTTTGTAAAAATTTCATCGATGCTGCGCTCTTCCTGGTCCTAGCGTAATGTTATATAGCCTGAAGCCTTTCTTGGTAAGTGCATTATCCAACACAAAAATATGTTTATGAATTGGACAAGTATGTTCTAAGATTAGCATGTTCAACCAAAAAAAAGAAACAATATACCTAGCCGAATCAGACTTATGAAACTCGACGCCACCCGACGCCAATGTTCTAATGTTTATGATCAGAATCACATTAGAAACATCCGACGCGACAATTAACTAATTACGAGTGCAATAATTATGAGTGATAAAAGTGATGGATGTGTACAAACCACTGCGTCACTAGATACATTAAATAATAAGGGCATGGACCAATGGTAAGGAGGACACACTTTTCGAATAGCAGAGCAATGGTTCTCTCTATACAACGGGTCCTAAACTACGCTACAAAATTTTCACTATCAGTTAAAAAAATATACGTAATGTTTATAATTATATGAAGAAAGACAAGCCTGAGAACAATAACTATAGCCTACACTACAGCTCTACACAGAAGCGAAGCGAAGGCGAGACTAGTTATTAATATAAATTGGAGTGGTATTTGACTTACGTAGCTTTAGGTTAGCTAAAGATTCTCAATGTTTGTCATTTCTATGGAACAGGTGGAAAAAAATCCAATATGGAATGAATGGAATTGGCATCTGAGGAAGAATTGACATAATCTTCAATAAATTGAGTGTAGGTATTCACTGACTGATATAGTCGCATCTATTAGGCACCTACCTATATTATCCTGTACGAAACTTAAATGAGTATTTTAAAGATGTTTTAAAAGTAGGTGTATGTACCTACTCGTTTGCTGACATTAAAAGCAGGTTCTTGTTTAAATGTTAGCGAGTTGGGTCTCTTGGGTTTAACCCTAACTTAAACAGTATGTTGGTAAGTACCTAATAAAAATGTAGGTATAGATTACAAATAATATACTTCAACTGTAGTTTGAAAATGTCTCAACGCGTCGTGTTGTTATATCATTTTACTAGGAAAAATCCACTAGGTAGGCTTTTGTCTGTTGGTACATAATCTACCCAATGTTACCTAACAAAAAATCCTTAGAAGACCACATTGAAAATGATTTAGATGAAGTAATTGCTTGCTTATAACGCATAAAACCTTGCATTGAAAAAGAAAACTATTTAAAAGACCACAATAAAATATCTACGGAACCCTAGACTGCGCGTGGCACGACACACACTTGTCCGGATTTCTGTATTTTGTCAGTATAAGTTTTAGGTACACTACCTATTTGTTTGAGGGATGACGACTGACATTTTTTCTTCTTCATCTATCAGAGAGATTATCAAAAAGTTTTTCACACGCATTTTTACTTTTTTCACATAATCAAAACCTAGATATATTGATTTGAATTGTCGCATGACGCCAAGTTTTGGTACATTTTTAGGGTTCCGTACCAATTCATATCTAATACTCATGTCTACTGTCCCTTGGAGCTGTGAAAATACAAACTTCTAAGCCAAAGCAATCAAAAGATACAGCCTTTTATGCCGCAAATTTTCGAAACTCGCACGGGAATCAAAACCTACAGGGTACTTCCCGTGAACTTAGAATCTTGAAATTTGGTACGATGTAACGTCTTATAGTACAGATAAAGGAAAAATTGCGAAATCCGTTATTTTTTAGCTACATCATATAATATTTTTTTTTATAAAATTCTAAAGTTAGTACCTCTTTTCTCATGAATTCATAGAGGTATTAAATTGAGTTTGTTCGGAACCCTCGGTGCGCGAGTCCGACTCGCACTTGAGCATTTCTTTTTACATAAAAGTAACGCCCCAAACTTTGACGCGCTTTATCTTTGTAAATTTTGGTTGATTGACAAAGGAAAAATACGTGTCTATTATTTTTAAAAGCTTTTATTTAGTTATATTATTTATATTTTAAGCGTTCAACTGCTAATGAATAATGACCTTGCAGCCTAAGGCTAGAGATATTTCGACGCGGCCATTAGGGCAGCGGTAGCATAATGGTCAGTGCATTCGCCCGGGTCCTGTCTGCTGCCTGGTCTGCGTGTTTTTTTTTCTAGTAATATTGTTTTCTAGAAATAGCTTTTATTTAACTTGAAATTTATGTATGTATGTTTGTTCGGGTGGAATATTGCAACTAAATTTTTAAACAGATGTCTTCATTCGACTGAGTTGAAATTTCGTACACACGTTAAGTAATCTAAATCCAATATCTCAAGTTTTTATATTATATTAATTGTGTTATGACGTACAGTAGTAAAATTTTTAAAGGAAAGTCTTTTTTTGATAATCTAACTGACGAACTAAATAGAATTTCGTTTTCTTTACCCCGTCTTTACTTCGGGATTTGTGGATTGATTTTGGTTATGTTTTTCTTTGTAAGATCTGAAGTGTATTTTTGGAGATAAACGATGAAAATTTTTAATGACAAAATATTTGTACCTACACATAACTGATTTGGATATTGTATGAACTAAAAAAAAAAAAATGCCATTCTACGCTATGCGTTATACTTATCGGCTGATAATGCAATGCTGGCTAATAAGTAAAGTCAATAAGTCAAATCAACTTTAAATTTCCAACGAAGAAATTTTTTCAAAAAAAGGGAACCTGTATTCATTGTCTCAAGCATAAATACTCTTTTTGATTTAATTTCTAACCCCGTTATTAATAAACGAGGATTAAGTTTAGACTAGTTACACCTTGTTTTGTTCCTATCACTCAAATGCCATTTGTCATTCAATGAACAAAGACAAAACATGGAGTAACTAGTCCAAGCTTATTCTTTGCTTATTAAAAAAGGGGTAAGGGTACGTATATTTGGAAACTATTTGTACGTAACGGGCCGGCAGTTTATCGGGCACGACATTTTTAACTTAATCAGTGCCAAATGTAAGGTCATTGAGATGTGCCTAAATGGAAGTGATGTTCATATAATTACTATTAGGTCTCAAGCTTTTGATGAATTAGAAAGTGTAAATGTTTATAATTGTAATAAATATACTAATTCTACTTATTATATTTATAATACTTAATAATAATATCGACGACCTCCGTGGCCGAGTGGTTTATACGCCGGGTTTCATGGTGTCGCCAACTCGAGAGGTCCCGGGCTCGAATCCCGGTGGGAGCAGATGTTTGTGTGATGAATACGTATATTTGTACTCCAGTCATGGTTGTGAAATATGTATTTCTATACAAATATACTTATATATGTACAGTATATGTATTCTATCCGTTACCCTAGTATCCCATATCACAAGCCTTATAGTGCTTATTTTGGGGCAAATTGGTGTGAGTGTTGGAAATAATTATTAATTTATTTTATTTTTAATGTTATTTTTAGCAATCTCGATGCCAGTGTATTCTGTGTATTTTAAAAGACGCGCGGGTTTCCGATAAACCTAGGGTTACCAAATAAAAAAATAAGAAGTCCGGAGAAAAGGCTTCCATTGAAAAATCCTGAGAATTTTCTCTCAAACGTACTTAATAATTTAAAAAAGTCGTAATTTTATTATTTATATACACTGCTTATAATTTTAATTCAATATAATTTGAAGAGCTTTTTAACATATGGGGCATTTTATAAATCCATAATTAAAGAAAAAACCTTACTTATAAATGTATCTTCATCTATTAAGTATGATGAAACTGATTAAGTACCTACTTGAATAAAAAAGGACTGATTTTAATTGTGCAATTATTACCAAAGGAAGATTATTTTTAGTTTACTGTATTTTATTGAAAATTCATAAAATCCTGTGATTTCATGAGATTTGCAAAATGAAATGAAATGAAATGAAATGTCATTTATTCAGTCTAGGCTGTTACAAGCACTTGTGAAAGTCAAGAAGCTACGCCATCGGTTCGCAAAACTACGGCGGGAGACCTTGTACTGAGAAGAACCGGCAAGAAACTCAGCAAGGGCTGTTTTTTTCTCCCTGTATTGTTATATACAGTGTCATCAAGTTGAAAAATTACTTCAGAAATACGTCTGAAGTCACTTTCCATTACATCATCTAGAATATAAATATATAGTTACAATTAATTTTATAGTTAACATTTTAAGTAGTATATAGGAAGCGGCATTAGATAGGTACAATATTACTGTTATGAAAAATGACCATCCTCAATCCTGGGTAGTGTTCAAAAATACTGAAATCTCAGGACAAATCCTGAGATATGGTAACCCTAGATAAACCGGCTAAACAGACCATCCACTGTTATGTATTTAGTGTGAATTGAATTGTTTTTGTTCGCCGACTGTACTGTGTGTGTAACTCGCGAACCCATCATTTTATTTTAGTTGACCACAAGTCCGCCGTCGGACCAGACGCGCTTTTAGAAAATGACAACATAGAAATTAATAAAAAATAACAAACATCAAACAACAATTTTCTGTTGGTAGTCAAAAGTTATATTAGTGTTATTACTCCGTTTACTGTTTCTCTTTGGATATTTTTATCGAGCAGAAGACCGGATCTTAATTGCCTTGAACTTACGTTATATTCTTGTGTATTTTCCTCGTTTGCCTGCCGAGATGATTTCAAGAATTTGTTTCGTGCTTTTTTTAGGTAAGTTTATTCTTTAAGTCAATCAATCTTTATGTATTGCGGTTTCGATATCCTGCGATAAGTATTATGTAATTATTTTATACTAAATTGATTCGAAGATTTAAATGAAAACATTTGAACTGCAAACCGTTTTATAGTTGGTTTGGGGTATTTCCACCTTCATTTGCTTATTCAACATGTTCCAAGGAACAGTTTGTACAGGCAACTTTAGGTACAATTTAAATAATTATCATTCTATATAAAAGAAACGGTTGCGGTTCTTGGATTTACCCACAAGTTTCTTGGTCTCCCGAAGTACAATTCATGTGTTATGGCCCAACTAGTATATCCAGTTTAAACTGGCTAAAGCTTCAAAACAGCTTTTGGTTGACACTTTACATATTTATTTAATTGATTGTCTGCCACTGTAGCAGAGCAGCGAGAACGCCTTATTTGAGGACTCGAGTTGGATTCACGGACACGTTGATGTAGGAAAACATTGTTCTTCATTTTCCCAGAAACTGAATTGGTAGTTTACTTTTTACGATGTTTTGAATATTCTATTTTGAATAGGTAATAACGTGAATAGGCAAGAATTCAATAGTAAATCTAGTTATGGTTACCTACCTACCTATTGGAAAAACCATAAAGCACCTATTTAAATAGAATAAACAAAAGTACATCAGGATGGACACCGACATTGTCCTCGTAACCGTTACACCTTTTCCGGTGAACATCAAACAAAAGTGTAGTGTGGTTATATCAAAACAACATTTCATTGCCAACTCAATTTGATATTTGGCGAAAACCTACGCTCCGTGTAGTAGGTAGGTAGTCTATCAACAACAACGCTTAACGGAAAATTAGTATTCATCAAGTATTCTATCGAAAAATTTTTATTACCTGCCTGTCTAAATCGATTTGTGGTCACGTTAGATGTTTACGATGTTGCTCCGGTGACGCTATCTCATCGAAAGGTCATTTTGGTCTATGCCGACGGATATTAGTACTGGATAATTAAGATTTCACGGACCCCGACGATGCGATAAACATGTTTTATCCTAGTCAGTCTCGTGTTTGAACTTTGGGGTCTATAACCATCTCTTTTATACTCTCTTGATAAAGGTAATTCTATTCTAAGGTTATCATTAAGATTGTCAGGTTCATTCAGTTTCGTTTATATATGTACAGTCAAATGCATATCAGCTGTTTTTTTTTATTGTTGGAATCTTACAAGAGACCATGGTGCAATAAAACACTACGATTTGGTGGTGTTGTATTTCTGCTGGTGATAAGGGTTCCTGGGCTCCGTGGGTTAGGGTTCAGGCCGGCAAGGTGAGAATGGCTGGAGCTGCACACTTTTTGCCATATCATCTTTCTACGCGAGTGGAGTTCACTTAGGTACACTTAACATTGGGTGGAACGGGGTAATTTGTTGCGACTCGTTTACAAAAAATCTAAATTGGGATCGTGTATCTAAAATGTAGAAAGCTTAAGCTTCTGCCGTCGGACCGTCTGTCTAACGACATGTATATCTTATGAACCGTAATAGGTAGTTGACATTTTCACAGTCTGTAGCTTCGAAAAGAATAGAAAAAAAAATACGAAAAATTCTGCGTATATTGTTTGATTTCGGTGGTCTATTCACAAAGTGGTTATACCAGTCTGAAGTTTGCTCCGAATTCTGGTATTTGGGGTCTCTCACATAATAATAATAAATGTGATAAAATGCCACACTGAAACGGTGATAATTATAAACCGAGATATGGTTTTTGGAGTCAAATTAGTTCAGAATGGATGAAAAAGAGACAGAACATTTATATTTGGATTGGATTTGCTCTCAAATTGAATGGAAAGAATTAAAAGACCACTATTAAGAGAATGTCTTGTTCCTACGGATCAAAATCTTGGACAGCGTGAATGAAAATCGCACGTAGCTGAAATGCATTACATGATAAGATGGCTGTATGGGGTGACGAGAATGGATAAAGCCTTAGAGATAAAGTGTTAAACGCGTACATTAGGGGAATTTTGAAAATGGCATTAGTGACAAAATGTTTGTGCGATCATTGCTATCATGATACGGTCATGTAATAAGTAGAGATGAGGGCTAAACTGTACTTCCAGGGCCCAAGTGGTGATACTTCACACTAGGTTAGGTTAGTGTTGTGACGTGAATTTGTGAATAGAAAGAAAAAATTAAAAGACACCTTTTCTACAAAAAAGTTCGAGTATCACCTCTTGGGCCCTGGAAGTACAGTTTTGCCGAGGCATGTGACAGAGCCAGTGATAAACATTGACATGAATGTTGACGGGACTATAACTACAAAAAGAGGAAAACAAAAGACTAAGAAATATGTCTTCTGACGCAAAAATGGGGGAAAAACATTTATCACACTGTCCTCAAAGAACACGTATGATGAGTGAGAGGGTTGCAAATATAATGTCCGGTAACAAATATAAATTGCAACTTTGTGAATTGGTTAATAGGCCTGCGGAAATTATGATGCAGGAGCAAAATATGTTGTTACCTACCACTTATTTAAATCAATACCTATATATATATATATATATATATATAGGTATTGATTTAAATAAGTAAAATATATATATAAATATTGTTTGAATATATATATTTTTTCTTTAAAAGTGTTTGATATCAAATTGTACAATGGTACATGTCTGTTCTGGAGAAATATAACTGTAACGAGTAGACAAATATAGGAAAACTTTCGTAGTTCCGCCTTTTTTATTTAAAGATTTTCCTTTGTTTTACCATTAAGAAAACCTGTAGTGATTTAAATTACGGGTAAACAGACGAATTATTGTTACTGATTGCTGTTAGTACTCTCGTTGAAAGATTTTTTTAGTGGGGTATCATTTTAAAATATTTAGTTACTTGTACCTAGTTTTTTTTTAACTTGAACTTCAAAACCACTTGGGAACCCTTGATAACAGCCTCAGTATGGACGATTTAAACAACATAGTGGTGGAATCTGGCCGTACCGTAAGGTCACAGTATTTCAAATCTCGCCATACCAGAATAAAGAATCTATCTGACAACACACTTCAACTTATGGTACAGCGAAATAAAATGAGGTTACTGAACTCAGCTGATGCAAGTCAGTATCCTTTTGGTAAATAGGCAGATTTTTAAGTCTTTTAATTTCTCGATCGTATTTTAAGGAAGCTATAGAACGGAACAAGGTCTCCAAAGTGCTTGCAAGAAATCTGTCTATTGGGAAAAGTCAACTGACGGAGCTGAAAACTGACGACGGTAGCATCATTTCGAATAAATCCGAAATCCTGAGAGAAATTGAGAAGTTCCATCGGATCTCAGAGCTAAGCTTACCCGACACTATACCGAAGATATCCCGGACGTCAGCCTGTATGAGATTAGTATGACTCTCAAACAACTTAATAATAACAAGGTGGCAGGCGATGAATGAATCACTACAGAGCTTCTGAGAGCGGACGGTAACGGATACTTAAAGTTCTTCAGAAGCATTTCAATTGCGTCATCCTCGGAGGCCGAACGCCAAAAGCATGGCGCAGAAGCGAGGTTATTCTATTCTTCAAAGAGGGTGATAGCACACTTTTGAAGAACTATCGACCAATTTCACTTCTGAGCCATGTCTATAAGTTGTTTTCGACAGTTATCACGAATCGTCTCGCTCGCAGGTTTAACGATTTTCAACCTCCCGAACAAGCCGATTTCCGAAGAGGCTTCGTAGACCACATTCATACGCTGCGGCAGATTGTACGGAAAACCGAAGAGTGTAACCTGCCACTTTACTTGGCGTTTGTGGACTACGATAAAGATTTTGATAAGATTAAGACCTGTGCGGTGTTGCAGTATCTCCAAAGGTGCAACGTAGACTACAGGTATGTCAAGGTGTTAAGGTTCCTTTAAAAAAACACCACTAATTTAGTTTGATTATAGAATCATAGCTCTTATCCGATCCAACTGCAACGAGGCGTGAGACAGGGAGATGTTATATCTCCGAAACTGTTTTCTGCTGCGTTAGAGGATATTTTCTACCTTCTGGATTGGAAAAGACGTGGCATCAACGTCAATGGCGAGTACCTAACGGCGATGACGTAGTAGTTAAGGCTGAGATCTTGGAAGCTCTGAACACAATGCTTGAAGATCTCAGCAGAGTTTCCCAAAAAGTGGGTCTAAAGATGGACATGGATAAGACGAAAATTATAATAATTATATATATACTTTTATTTCAGACACAAGATCCATTCCTACAATTAACAAATTATTTCATAAATTCCAATTTTAATATTATGTCGAATGACCATGTTGTACCCTTTTTTGTCTGGGAAATGCCTTACACATCCTTCAACAACCGGGGGAGCGAGAAGAAGGTATGTGGGACTCCTCCCTGTTCATTGCAGTCAGCCCTTGGGCCGGGTGAAATGAGCAGGGCCCTACCTAACGCCCTGAATAGGGCCCCTAAAAACCAGACAATACTCCTGTACCGGTTACCCGTCGTACATTCTGAGGACCGCAGTTCCTCCAATGCTCGCCGGGAGTGCGGGTGTGGTCGCGGCAACCGTTGCCGACTATCAGCGATAAACTAATGAAATTCTTGATTCTAGAATAAAAAAAAATCACTGTTAAATGCTGCGTAAAAGTGTTCCACATGTCCACAACAAAGCAAGCATGATCCACTTTTGTAAAATGTGAACGACCGCCTCGATGATTAAGCTTTACTGGCCGCTTCCACAGATGCACAACAGTAAAAAACTAAAAGCACTCGTCGTAATCTTTTTTTTCACGGAAAAAATAAAACGTTAAAAAAAGCGCGGGAACGCGTCCGTGCGTGCGCAGACTCGGTGGAGAGTCGACCATGTTGCACCCTCTCCAGTTAAAATTGGGAATACTCCACTCGAAGTTGTCAACCATTACGTTTACAGTAATGAAAGTTCAACTTTGCGAAAGTGGTCTCTCGTCGTATCCAGCTCAGATGGGCAGCGTTCGGGAAGTTACGTAAAATCTTTACGTCCAAATTACCCTGAGGTATTTTGGTTAGAGACTTTTGTCTTGAGACACTGATGTCTCAAGATAAAAATCTGACCAGTGTGTTGCCCGTTATGACTTACGGAAGCGTAACGTCGTTTACTTTGGGTCTCATAAGAAGGCTCAAGGTCGCACAGCGGGCAAAAGAGAGAGCGATGCATGATTTCCCTGCGTGATAGAATCAGAAATGAGGAAACCCGCAGGAGAACTAAAATAACCGACATCGCTCGAAGGATTGCTCAACTAAAGTGGCAGTGGTCGGGACATATAGCGAGGAGAACCGATGGCTGTTGTGGCGAAAAGGTTCTCGAATGGCGACCACGCACCGGACGACGCTTGGTGGGAAGGTCCCTCACCAGGTGGACAATCTGGTGAAGATCGCAGGAAGCCGATGGATGATCTCTGCTGCATCTACAATCGTTAGAATTTCAGCTTTCGTAAATTTATTGTTACATATTTTATGTGATGGTAGTTTTGACCCCAATACATGTTTATTAGTTTGATGTCACCTTTCAATTTGACGACAGTGTATGAAATAAAACAGGCAGAAAATAGCAGCTCTTGCTTGCTGAGTTTTGTGCTGGTTCTTCTCAGTAGAAGGTCTCCCGCCATAGATTTGCTAACCGATGACGTAACTTTCGACTTTCACATGTGCTTGTAAAAGCCTAAACTGAGTAAATTAATTTTATGTAACTCACACTGATAGACTGACGATGATGGTGAATATGGATTATTATCTCCGTAAAGATAAGAAGGTGATTTTTTAAGACAATTAATTAAAATATCACGATGTTTTGCTAAAGGTACCAATTCTGGCAATAAAGTTATAAGCTAGTTAAAGTACTGTGCAGTAGTAAAAGTATTCACTTTATTGCGATTTTATTTGTAGTGACCACTACTACCACGACTACCAATACGACGTAAGACTGTCAGGCAGCAGAAAACTTGAAAGTTAAATTCTAATTTACAGCGCCATGTGTGCTCGGCAACGGTGATCCCATCGACCCGGAGACCCTGCACAATGTGTTCGGCTACCCGCAGTACAATACAGCGGCATCTAATGTGGCGACAACGACCCTTAGCCAAGTGCTACCGGTTCAACCAGTCAACTCCACCCTCACCGACCCAGACTACTGGGATGTGGACGAGCTGCCCTCCGCTGCCGTCGCAGACTACGACAAATTTGACTGGGTTCTGACAAAGGTTTGTTTTGAAGATGTAAATGCTTAAGTGTCCATAGATTCATTGGTTTATAAGTAACGGCGCTCAGCTGAGTAAAGCCAAAAAAATCAAATTTTGTCCTATATTCAAATTGAAAGCATAATTCTTTTATCATCATTTTTATATTGTTCCGAACCGAAAAAAGTTTAAAACGGTAGTGTTCAACTCTGTAGATAAGTGGCTATCTTTTCTAGAATACAATCTGATACATGCAGTAAACCTTGATGATTTGTTTTATTTCAGCGCGTCGCGTCCAACTCAAATGTGAATTTCTTGATATCCCCGTTGGGTTTGAAGTTGGCGCTGGCTATCCTGGCTGAGGCTGCCACCGGCCTTACCAGGTCGGAGCTCTCCTCCGTGTTGGGCTTCGAGGTGGACAGACACGCTGTTAGGAGAAAGTTCTCCACTATTGTGGAGTCATTGCAGGTACGTTAGCTTAACAGAGTAAGACCGCAGTAGCTGGAATCTTAGTTCTCATTATCATAAGCTTTTTAATATCCCACACACCTCACGATAAGCACCCTCCTTTATCATGCGTATGCGGGAATGGAAATTCCTTCCTGCGTCTGTATTCCCTGGTACATCTAATATAGATAACTTCAAGGCAAGAGTAAATAGGCATTATTTGAGTTTGCTTGGTCCAGCTTAGACCACATCATTGCTTCACATCAGGTGCGATTGTGGTCAAACATACTCTTATATATAAAAAAGTTTCCACTGCTTGGACATAGACCTTTCCTACACGGATTGAATTGGTAAATTTGGCCAAGATCTACCATGTAGCTGTCAATAACGGCCTAACGTGCCATTCGAAATTAGGAGGAGCTCGAGATCCATCCTATAACCGAACACGATCGCAAGCCAAATGCATAGTACTTACCTATACTTATTCACTAATATGAATTGATCCTGCGTGGTGGATACGTACAGTACATTGTACATTGTCTCCATTAATGTGTTCGCTATGCGCTCAGACTGAAATACTGTCCATTAATTTATACCTTATGCCCTCAATGAAATACTGCTTAGCTGATGATGACAATGTCATTTATGTTCCAGAAAAAATCGCCTCAGTACATCCTCAATCTCGGCAGCAGGATCTATGTGGAGGACAGTGCTCAGCCAAGGCAGCGGTTTGCAGCAATCGCACAACAATTCTATCAGACCGAGCTGACCTCCATCAACTTCCACAACCCACAAGCAGCGGCTGCTTCTATCAACGCATGGGTGTCTAACACAACGCAAGGGAAAATCAACAATTTGGTAGATCCAGGTTAGTTTTTGTTTGATCGTTAGAAATTTGTCATCTTAAGCCAGCAAATTTTTTTGGAAAGTAGACCAAGAAACCTTTATTATATTATTTATTATACAAACAGTTAATGATTCTGGATAATGGCTAAAATCCTCCAAAATCGCGTCCGTCCATTGTTTAGATCCATCATCATCAAGACACAGGCACCCATAATGCAGGCTCCAGTCTTTATTAGCAGCTAAAGATCAATGAAAAGACTTAATTTTCTAAATACCACTGTACTTTAATTAATCAAACGGTTTCCACTTCCAGACGACATATCCAACATGGTGGTAATGATCCTCAACACGATATACTTCAAGGGCACCTGGCGTCACCAGTTTGATCCCAACTCCACCAAGGAAGGAGTATTCTACACAACCCCTAACCAGCGCAAACCCGTCCAGTTTATGCGTGTCAAAGACAAATTCTATTACGCGGAATCGACCAAGTTCGACGCTAAGATATTGAGGATGTCATACATTGTAAGTTGTTGTTATTAAAGTTATATGATTTTCGATCTTCTTTACTTTTTTAGGATACGAGAAGAACTAAGTATGAAATGCTTGAAAAAAGTACAATATCGATACAATATTGATGATGATGAAAATATTTTGTCTTCAAAATTTTTTTTCGTAGTTGTATTATAGTTAAAGTTTACCACTTTGATGCCATGATAAAAGACTTATATAATATTACTTAATATTCCAAATGGTCATGAGAAAAAAAAAGGTTCAATAAACTCGAAAACATAAAAAAACATGATACCATTGAAGTATGTAGTGAATACGACCATAACAAATTTTGCAGGGCAACAAATACGCGATGTACGTGATAGTTCCGAATTCATTGACCGGTCTGAATATGGTGATGGAGGGGCTCAGCACTCTCCGGCCGGAGATGGACTCGCTGCACGAGCGACTCGTCGACGTCACAATGCCCAAATACAAGTTCGACTATAGCTCGGAGTTGGATGCGGTTCTTAGAGAGGTAAATATCCATACTTCCATTCTATACTATTCCAATCATACATCCATATCATAAATGCGAACGTGTGTCTGTCTGGCAGTCTTTCTGTCTGTTACCTTTTCACGCTGAAACCGTTGAACCGTTTGAATTCTATCGCTAAGAGGTCCCAAGTGTGTATTTATTCACACATCGTAAGCACATTTTGATACTCGGCACAAAATAATACTTGACATCAAATAATTAACCTTGACTACCCACCCTCCTCCTTTTAATTTGAAGTCGGTTAAAATTAATCGTCGACTTAGAAATAAAATAAATAAATACTTAGGAATGAGTAATAATCGAATCGGAAGGTGCATCGATGATGATCGTGATTCTGAATCTATAATTACTCACGTAATGTTAATCACCTGAACTCTAAACAACTACCTATATTTAAATGATAACCCGCACAAAAATTACTATTCATATGAATACTCATTTGCGGTCAAGATAAGCACGACGGAAAAACCAATACACATTTATCATTAAATCTGTGTCGAGTTTACAACTGGGCAACAACAAGGAAAAATATTTGTTTACGACTTTATATTGAAATAGTATTTGTTTTATATGCTTCCGTCCACAATCCTCACTCATTAAATAAATAATATATATCATTAGGTGGTCACAAAGAAAGCGGGTACATATAGTGTAAATTTACAATAGTAGTAATGTTATTATTTATTTCGTGCCTAATGTGCTTGCGTACCTAGACGTACTTCTTGATATGTTGACTTCACTCTTTTTTATCGCGTTAACCCAACAGTACAAATCAAATAAATGGAGCGTGGATTCGTGTGCACGAAAGACATTACTTGAATTCGGGTCCCCGAAGCAATATTTATACTGGAATACGGGCTGGAAGACGTTGTCGGGTAAACAAAAGGAAATCTACCCGAATACGGGCGTACTCGACTCCGTTTATTTACACTTATTCGTTTACCAGAATTCCACTGGCACTTGTATTCGGGATGACGACCAAGTGTATTGCGCCATTAGACTGGGGTTTCAGTGTCTAAATAAATTACTTTAACGTTTAATTCTAATATTCCTTCCCTTCTTTTCAGATTTGTCTCAGCACAAATCTGGATAGATGTTCACACTGATCATATTAGAATTAGAATCAGAATTTTAGAATATTGTACCTGAACTTTAGAAAAGTACCACAAATTTGAGTAAATTTTTAGAGGTCTTTTGACTGATCGCGATGACCCCCTCATACAGTTATGGGCGGTGCGAGTAGGTGCATTCTGGATCATGTATCTGTGATTTGATTAACGACGCTTGAGCATGAGCTCCGAGATTCCTTGTGCACAGGATCACGATTTAGCTTGACAATAAAATCAAAGGATTTTCAAAGGAATTCGGGGTTTTCCACCATACTTATAACTTTTTCAGCTGGCAACTCATCCACCTTAGCGTTATGTTTACTTCCTGCAAGCACACATACTCATCCTTTTTCGTATATTCCAGTTGGGCGTACGGCAAGCGTTTGAGGACACAGCATCGTTTCCTGGCATCGCGCGCGGGCAGACACTGGCGCAGCGGCTGCGTGTCTCCAGGGTGCTGCAGCGTTCCGGTATCGACGTCAATGAGCTAGGCAGCGTCGCGTACACAGCTACAGGTATGTCATCTGTAAATACAACAAGCAAAGCGGACAGTTTTTCAAAAGACACGGCGTTGATTCTCCAAGGTGCTGCAGCGCCTTGGCGTCGACATCAACGAGCTAGTTAGCGTCGCGTACACAGCTACAGGTATATTCTCGTGCAATAATCATAACGGTCAGCAGTCAAGGACATATTGTTTCCGAGTGACTCCAAGGTGCTGCAGCGCTCCGGCATCGCCGTCAATGAGCTAGGCAGCGTCACGTACACGGCTACAGCTATATCATCATATCATATAACAGTCATAGCGATCAGCTTACGAAAGACACGGCGTCGTTTCTCCAAATTGCTGCAGCGCCGGTGCGCTGCGTAGGTAGCGTCGCTTACATAGCTACCGGTAGGTATATTCTCATACAATAATGATAAAGGTCAACGACGTGTTGTTTCCGAGTGACCCCAAGGTGCTGCAGCGCTCCGGCATCGCCGTCAATGAGCTAGGTAGCGTCGCTTACACAGCTGCAGGTATATTCTCATACAATAATCATAGAGGTCAAGGACGTGTTGTTTCCGAGTGACTCCAAGGTGCTGCAGCGCTCCGGCATCGCCGTCAATGAGCTAGGCAGCGTCACGTACACGGCTACAGCTATATCATCATATCATATAACAGTCATAGCGACCAGCGCATGAAATACGGCGTCCTTTCTCCAAAGTGCTGCAGCGCTCCGCCATCGACGTCGAATTTGGCAGCGTCGCGTACACAGCCACAGGTATACCATTTGTTCATAAAACAGGTTCTCTTAAATTTGGAAAATATTGGGTGAAATAATTTCTCAAAGACGATAGACTGAGATTCTTATTTTCAATTTCTTTCGGTGCGTAATCCACGCTATGCCCGTTTGTCCTAGCAATTGTGATCCTGTCATCCTGTTAATAAAAGTAATTGTTGCATGGAAAGTACTTACTTACTCTAATAATCGCCTTTTGAAGAGCCCCATATTGTAACGCAATAGAACCACCTTAAGGGGAAACTTTTCCCACATCCTACCATTTCTCGGGAAAAAAGGAATGTCATGCCCTCTCTTTCTTTGGGTGCCAAGCGACCAAAATGTGAAGTTGATTGAATTTTACTTTTTTGGTAGGAGGTGCGGTGGGGAAAAGTGACACAAAATCAAATAGTCCATCCGAGCATTCTCCCATATTCTTCATTAAGATTTAGTATAATATACCTTTTTGACAATGTCTTGTCGTTTCATTGTTACAGAAATAGCGCTGGCGAACAAATTCGGCGAAGATAACGAGAGCAGCGTGGAAGTGATCGCCAACAAGCCATTCTTCTTCTTCATACAGGACGAGGCCACCAGGCAACTGCTGTTCACCGGCAGGGTCTCCGACCCCTCCATCGTCGATGGCGCCTTCAAGCACTGATGTAGTTTTAGAACAGTTTTGTAAAAAATAAACTTTTTCAAAGTTTACCGTCGGTGTTACATTTCATTTGTTCACGTGGAAAGTATTTTCTATTGTGTTTAAGCTGCAACTTTTAGGAATTTGCGTACCTTCAGTATATCTGTGAGTGTAAGTGAGCTTTTAAATAGTTCAATCCTGTGCGATCATTTGTGCTAAATACTCAACTTTTTTAATATAAATAGGTAAAACAGTTTTAACGGGTTATATGCACGGAATTTCTTTATTTATTGACGTTTCGTTTCGCACCCTTTTCAGTACATTCCGATTCATGAAAAGGATGTGAAATGTCAATTAATAAATAAATTCAGTGCATATAACCCGTTAAAACTGTTTTATTTAATGAATCATGTGCTTGAAAACCTAAGAAACAAATATAAATAGGTATATAATGTAAACTTGTGAGTGGCTCAAACAATCTATATATACATAGAAATATGTGACTACTATTACATTCCTTTTCTGGGGACTGCGCTCTTATGGACGCCTAAGTTTTTGTATGCAATGTATTCAAACATAATACATATTTAAAATGCGTACTATAGAATACCTGCCACCAATGGAGGTACCAAAACTCAATATTTAATAAACCATTTAAAGCTGCTTAAATACGACAGAAAAACTCAGAGCTTTGTAATATAGGGTTCTGTAGGAATAAATGTCATCAGATTCTCATTTGAATGCGATTTCTTAAAGGTCAGCTGGTTTCTAATGACTATTATGCCAATATTACATTGACTCATTTTGAACTTCCATTAAATGATATAAAATTAATTTTGCTCTGTAATTATTAATCTAGTACTTTTTCGTTCAAATAGTCTTCTTGGTTGTGAGATTTTGAATGTAAGACCTGCATCCCAATTCTCTGTTAGTATAAGTTAAATATTTTTATATCAAGGTGCTAAATGAAATTGACTTGCATAAACAATGAAAACGTGATGGATGCATTTATAAGACATAAAAATAAAATAAACATTATGAATAAAAAAAGATTCATGAGTTTGATTTATGCAACAGCTATACAAATTAGTTTTAGATTGCACTTACGCACAGTAGAGTTTAGAGAAATGGATATCTTAATTTATGAGTGTAATTTTTTAATACCTGCAGGATATTTTAATAATTGAATGAAATTGATTTTTATGCTGTCCTGGAAGGAAAAGAAAAATAATATGCGACAATTGCTAAGTAAGTACTTTCTGACAAAGATAGTTACAGCAATAATAGACATTATTGTGAGCTGTGGGTGGGAGACTACTGAGGGATTTGGTAAAACTCCAGCTAAGCCAAATACCTACGATGACGATTCCCAATGGGTCATCGTCTCCGAGAGTCAATTCCCGACCATTTAATCAGAAATTAACCTTTTATGTGATCTGGAGAGATTCAAAGTTAACTGCGGTTGTGAAGTTAGCAATGAACTTAACCTCGTGCCGGCTTCAGTTCAGTGCAGGAGCGTATTTAAGAGCCCTTTCGCATTTATTGCAAAAACTCGTAATTTTTAAGCGCCTCATTTACCCCCTTAGAAAAGATTTCGACTATTTCCAATAGAAGTTAACAGTAGATTTATTCTTCCTATTGTAAGTTATTGTAGAATATTTGCAAATACTATTTTCCTTTTTTTATGCTGATCGTTCTACCGCAACTAGTTTACGGAAAAAACGATAATATGCACAACTTCAAACGCCTGAATCTCTAAATAATGTTCAATAAATTAGATCAAATTATTAAAACGACATCAGAAATGTTTTTGTTGTAACATAATCTATTAGTTTTGATTTTCTATCTCATTAATTATCAAAAAAGACATCACCTCACCTCCGTGAGTTTTCCCAAAAAAAAATAATGCAGGTTTACCTCGTATTTTGATGTGGAATTAAATAAAATTACTGTCAAAAACATTCATAAAACTAATCTACCATCATTGAACTACTTAAATATGTATATATTTTTATAATTAGCTTATTAATAATTATTTTATAAGACTCGAAACATCACCCGTAAAATGCCATATTACTGATGCAAATCTACCTACGCGCCGAGCACCGGCGCAATTTTGTAAAAGGGCTCTTAAAAATTTGGCGCATCTTCCCTTTTTTTTAATGGCAGGACACGGTTTGTGTATTGTCAGTGTCAAAGGTAGGGAGCCTTTACCCTTTTAAGATTTGCCCACCTCTCCTAGAATTAGTAAATCAAATCAAAATATAGGCCTAGTAACGAAGACCTGTGTTTGGCTTCTGCCGCCCCTCGCAGCTCATGTAGCCGCAACTCACAACCTGCTGCCCCGGACCGTGGCCATCTTGGTCTTATGGTAAACAAGCCCCTGGCTCAGTTCCACTATACACGTGAATGGACAAAGAAACAATCGCCCTTTTTTTTATGTGTAACATCCTTCCTCTTGCTTTCCTGCAATTTGTGGGAGTGATTTCGTGAAATGGGACGGAAGTGTGTAACAGGAAGTCGTGAAAGCGCGCGCTATTTGATTTGATTTTAGAACATAATGTTCATTATTATTATTATTTTATTAGAAAACTCAACACCTTTTTTTTTTATAATTACATGCTTAAGTAAACTTATTTAAAAAACTAAGCCAATTACAGATTTCCACGACATTTTAGAATAATTAAGGAAGTAAAAAATATATTATTGTCAGTTCAAATGACTTATGCCTTTTGTAGTAGGTTTTATTTATTTTTTTACTAATATAAGGTGAGGTTTCAAATGTTACAACATCATACGCGACTACTGTAAGGCCCGTTCGTTTTTTTTATAGATAGGTCCGAACAAATGACTCCAGCCCACCTGATGTTAAGTGACGGTGAAGTCCAGACACAAAGGCAGCTGCTCTCTGGAAAGAGAAGGAATTGACTACTCTCTAAAAAGAGAGAAAGCAAATACAAAGACAAAATATGGACCGTCCGATTGCTTTATCTCTCTCACACTTATTGGCTCAGTTTTAATTTATTGTTAACTGGCTGTGCTCCGCGGTGTTACCGGTGGTTTACTACACTCTTACTTTTTTTAAATCCCTTCCGCGCCAAGGGCATATTCTTCAGACAGTCACAATTTTCACTGCACGATGCGTGGTATAATGAATTTCAAAAAAGAACATCGTCCTTCACGCGCTCTTGACTAGGTACCATAGCGCTGAAACTTTTCATGAATTTTATGTTCTTAGAAAGCCCCTTACTCTCCGAATCTTTTATAGAGGATTCATATCATGGGTGTAGATAAAGTCTTTTATGCAACTGTTATAAATAGGTATTAAAACACTCATGCGATGCTCATTAAACAACAGTTGCTTAAATAACTTTTATATGCTAAGAACCGAAAAAAACCCAAATAACTGCAAAAACAGTCCAATTAACATTCTAAAACATTTACTTAGGGTAATTGTATTTAAATTGGGACTACTTAGGTAAATTGGGATTAAATTCCAATATGGTAATGCAGCTAATAATTACGGTAATTCATGCATTCACTTGGGCAAATTCGGAGTCAGAGATATTTTGTATGAGGGAATTGTAACTCACGAAATGTCTCAAAGTATTGTCAATGTTGTTAACTCGTAGTTGGATACAGGTTTTTTAAATTGATGTTGTAGGTACAAGACTTATTATATTAGTCATTCGAAGTTAATACGTGGTATTCTCAGTTCACGCCAGTGAGGCGACCGTGTCAGAGCCTCTTGTTTTTTGTCATGTTCATTTAACACAAAGACTGATAGAAATAAGCGCTTCCGCTGTGTGATATAGTTCATTTTGCCATACGAATAATTCGAAATGGCTTCTTTGAAAATTCTGAGTAAGTTCATTTTTATATACCTTGTGAACTTATTTAATTTGTTTGTTATTATTTTTCTAACCGACCTTCTTTTTGCACATACAATGCATTAATGATTTTGTGTCGTTTCGTTATATTTTGTTGTTTGTCCAATTTTGTTTAATTTTCCTCGTTTGGGTCGACCTTACGGAATATTTTCTCTGTATGATGCTTTATAACCGGTTAATATCAAGTATTCGGGATCAAGATTTGAAATAACTAGACATCTTTGTATTCTTAACGTTTTTATAAACAAAATCTATTAAAAACTATGTTCACGAATAGGTCGATATTCTAACTTTATTGATCCAAAAGCAAACCTAAGCTTAATTCATCGCTTTTGGCGATTTAAAAGTATCATCACAGAGCAGAAAGGGGTTTCATTGTTTGACCATATAATTTTCTTACTGTATGTATTTCATTGTACGTTCTGTATGGGTTTTATTAAGTTCACTGAAAAGTTATTCAGCAAAAAATGTCATAAAGATATAACATACATTATAAAAACGGACGTTTTAAGGGTGGGCAATGTCTCCCATTGCTATGACCAAGAACACTCCTAGATTATTTATAACTTGTTTTGTAGAATATTTGATCACAAAATGATAATGTGAAGTCATTAGCAGTTGCATATTTAATGTTCGTATTATTAATGAATAGGATTTCATTGCCGGTTTAATAACTAGTATCATTTTGAAGAATGATGGCACTACACTTATATTAAATAGGTAATCTTAACTTTTTTTAATGTGTAAGCTGTTGGTCGCAGATGACCTTTACAGCGTCACCGGGGTTGGGGACGGCCAGATCCTAAGGGGACGGCCAGATCCTAAGGGGACCTCAAGCCGAGAATTTGCGAGTACCTCTGGAGGTATTCCAGGCGGATGGCATCTCCCCGCGGGGGGAGTCTCCTCTCCGTCTGGAGCCTCTAGACCACTCGAACCTAAGGGGGTCGGCTCAACTAGAGGGGGTCTCTGAGATTCGGACCTCGGCTCTAGATAGCCGCTGCCGTGGGGAGCGGGGATAATCTTAACTACATAGACACATGCGTTTCATAGTAGAAGAGCTCGAATATGCAGTTGTTAGCGCGTAACCTGCGATCATAAATGACGAGCAATTTTTGCAATGGCTGGAATTAGGATGGGTTACTCGAAAATTACTACCTCCCATTCCGCACTGGGCACAGTGCGGATCGGTCCCAGTACGGAATAGCCTCAGTGCCGAATAAGCCCAGTGCGGAATGGGCCCAGTGCGGATGCTCCTTCCTTCTCTCACCAAACAAAACTTTTAACAAAGTCCACAACCACCGCTGTTAGTTGTCGCCCATGTAGTTACCCGCCCAGTTGCCTAGCTAACTGCTTCGCTAGGTTGTAACCGTAAATTTTCGCCTAGCCCCCATCCGCCATACCGTCCGAACTTCGTTCCAATAATAATATACTGACGAATTGAGAACCTTCTCCTTTTTGAAATCGGTTAAAAACCGATATTCTTTGGAAAACAATGGAATCCGCAGTTGTAAGTAATGACAACGCGACGACAGCTGAGAAAAGCAGTACCCTCAGCACGAACCAAAATCGAATTCGTAACGTTTGCGAGTCCGAAATGTCATTGTCAAATTTGTACTGATTTTTAGTTCTCGTTACGTACTTTGTGCCGCTGCTGTTCAAGTTTCCATACAAAATTTGACATTGACATTTCGGTTTGCAAACTATTCGAATTCGATAATGGTTCGTGCTAGTGTTACAGGTGTCATATCACCTGTTTTGCAGTTTCTTTCGATCTCTCGTTAAATAATATTCCGGTCAACGAGACGGCAACATAACATTATGAACTTACATTTACTTTTCACGCTTAACTAAGTTGGTAGCAAAGTAAAGCGTTTTTAATTACAATTCGCTGCATAAGTTAATAGAAAAAGAAAAAAGTATTTTAGCAACAAAAGAGTATCTTCAAAATCAAATATTTAAATACAAGATACAAAACAAATTTCAAATAAGTATTTGAAATACAAGATGAAAATACGTTTTTTGTATCTTTGATACTTTTATCTTAGATAAAGTCAATTCTCTGTTTACTTCTCTTAGCCTAACATCTTCAATGAATTTGATTCCAGCTCTCCTCGTGATAACATTCCAAAGCGTCACAAATGGACAAAACCAGCAGCCTATGTCTCGCCTCAACTTCTTTGATATCGATTTGCTCCGGTATTGTGCTGAAGAGCGGCGTGGTAACGTGATGGTGTCTCCAGCCAGCATTAAGGCAACACTAGCGATGCTTCTTGAAGGCTCCCAGGGTGCCACAGAGGTCGAGATCAGGAGCGCACTGAGATTGGCGCCGACGAAATCCGAGTATAGAGAACAGCTGAATCTGTTCTTGGAAGGTTTGAAGGTAGATTTTTTCTTTCAATTGTACAATTATAATAAAGGTGGAGAGGAGCTTGATCGCACAAATAAATAGTAAGCCCGTTCGGCTGTGATCGTTGAAGTTAAGTAACTTTCGCAGTGGTCGATCATTGGGTGGGTGACCAAAAATTTACTATCTCGAGCTCCTCCGTGCATGCTAAGCCGTTAATCCCGGCTGCAGCGTTAGCATCTACCAATCCGCACTGGACCCGCGTGGCGGATCATGACCCAATCTCCCTATTTATCCATAGGGAAGGACTGTGCTCCAGCAGTGGGGACTAGGCTGAAGATGATGATGATGATGATGATAATCAATGTGACCATCGCAAAGCTGTTTGAGATATCCTAGGTTAACATCAGTTGTGATAAGGTTATTAAAGCTTTTGCAAAAGTCAAAAAGCTGTCGATGAGTTGACAATTCTTTATTTAGAGAACCGACCGACAAGAAATTTAGAATAATAGACAGTACGTTCATTTGTTAGACGGTCCAGGAACTGTTCTGGTCTGCTCCTGGAGTTGACCGCTAGTTAGAAGTTATTTTTATTTATTTATTCAGCAAAAAAATTACATGCAAAATTATATTATATCTCCCAAACTGCAACGCAGTTGGTCGGCAGAGTTTTCGTAGAAGTATTATCATATTTAAAATCATCATACTATAAAATAATGCATGTTAACTTTCTATGACAGAGAAACAAAAATGATAAGAGAAAAGAGAAAGCAATCAACCAAATTTTTTTCTTCTTCTTAATATCCCTTTGGTAGGTACTATATTTTAACGTACTTTAATAACCTTCTATAATAACTTTCCGCAATGCAAATGAATGAACATTTCCAACATTCCCACCAATAAATTTTCTCAGCCTAGCCCCAAAGTAAGCACTAGGCTAGGTTAGAAAACAAGCTTACGTGTTTTTTAATGCATACTTCTCTATAGGTATCCATGTTTTGCAGTTAATTGTGTATGCCCTTTACAGACGAACACCACTGGCGTATTTTTACAAAACGCCAATTCAGTTTTCGTGTCCGATAAATTGAAGATGAAAAAAGATTACGAGTCTTTGTTGAAATCTGTCTACCTGGCGGACGTGTTCAAGATGAATTTCGGAGACATCGACGGATCAGTCAACACCATCAACAATTGGGTCTCGAAAAAGACCAACGGACTCATTCCGGGCATCGTTGAACCAGGTTAGAAGATATTGTCTAAAAGTTAAACATATAATGCACAGACGTATCTCTGCCACGATCATACAGTGTTTAAGCGAATAAAGTTAACTGCTTATTATACACTTACTAGCAGCCGCCCGTCCGCGTTAACTTTAGTTTTTATAGAAACCATTTATTTTTCCGGGATAAAAGTATCATATGTCTTAATTTAGGCCATAAACTATATTCCTACCAAATTTCATCCAAATCTGTTTAGTACTTTTTGCCTAATTGAGTAACAAACATATACACTTTCACATTTCTAATATTATTACTAGGATGAGTTGTTAAAATTTAGTTTGAAACTATTTGAACATAAGTACTTGTATATAATTTCACTAGCGGTCCGTCCCGGCTTCAGACGGGTGTAATAAATACTTTGAAAAAAGAACATGAATAAATCAATACAGATTTTCAAGGTAGCCGGATTGAGTTTCTTATACAACGAAAAAAACAAATTTACAAAAGCGTCAAAAATAAAATTGAAGGACTTCAATAACCATAATATTGCATAAAATTACGAAAATTCAATTCTTCACGCATCGCTTAGGTAACCTCGGTTTCCATTCTACGGCATTCGATTTTAGATTTTCAAAATTTTTAAACACTACGTCTCGTTCTATTGTGTCTGGCTGAGAAATGAGAAGAAAAATGAAAAAAAGAAATGAGAAGATATAGAAGCCGCTCTTTTTTGTGATTATTGTTATAGGTAACGAGCATCTATAGAAATATATGTGATGAAAAAAAAACAGATCACCAATTTGAGAAAGTACAATTATTAAACGGAAAGACTAGGCATGTTGAAAATATATCGATGTATCGATATATCGATATTTTTTGTTCGATATATCGATATTTTTTGCCGATATATTTTGATTCGATATATCGATACATCGATACAAAATAACCTATATCGAAATTCGTATCAAAAACGATTTTTTTTTAATTATTAGCGGCTTACGATCTAACTAGTATCTGGATAAATTGTGACAGGATCTCTGGATCTGGATCTGGACTGGATGCTGTATTTAGTATTGTCTATTATTTGTAAATCTGTTTCGCTGGTGAATTGGTTGTGCTGATTTCCATTATATTCTGTGGAACTGTGTGACTGTCTAGTCTTGTTTACGAAAGATGGCAGCTGAGAGGCCCTGCAATCATTTTCATTATTCGGAAATAGGGCATATTTTTAGGGAGATAATTTTCGTTCCATTATTACTCCGCGTGTCATGTAGTGTAGCGGCAATTTGGTACTGTAATAATTCTTTCTTTAATTATAATTTGTATTGAACTATTATTACTGTGCTAGGCTGACCTAAATATATTTTTGGGAAAATTGGTCCGATATATCGATATATCGATATTTTTTCCGCGATATATCGAAGCCGATATTGATATTTTTTTTAAATATCGATGTATCGATATATCGATATTTTTTTCAACTTTCGACATCCCTAGGAAAGACTTGTATCGTTAAGATTTTTGTTGTCGATCTGTCTTCCGTAGACGATTTGTCGTCTATCTGTCATGTCATGTCTGTCGTCTATCTGCCTATTTGTCGTCTGTTTATATGTTGGCTGTTGTGAATTTCCAAATATACTATTTTAGTGTGTCTAAAATTTATTCTGGACAATATAAAGGATTGTTAAAATCCAGCGGTTTTGGCTTTGCATTATGAGTCAACCAGCCAATAAGTCAATATGTCCATTTCCCTCTTTACTTAACAAAAGAAGTTTATAGAAGAAATAATACGCACAAGAAAAGAAATATAGTAGGCTACGCACGCGAGTATTGTATTAAGTAGACACGAATCAGCATTCTGAATAAGAGTCAATAGATATATACGTAGGTACGATCTGGTAAAAATGGTTTCTAAATCAGTTAAGCCATCTTATTACTTGTCTAGGCAATAATTGGAACCTACTGTCCAAATTTCATCATTATAGGTCCAGCCCTTTCGGCTGTGCGTTGATGAATCAGTCAGTCAGTCTGTCAGTCTGTCAGTGTACGTATCCTTTTCTCTGTTTTCGTAAAAACATTATAAATTTTTAAAAATATTAATAAAATTCTAATATTTTTTTCAGTGAACGTCAATCCATCAACGGAGATTCTCCTAGCGAACGCGATGTATTTCAAGGGTAGCTGGCAGAAATCGTTCGACCCCAAGGAGACAAGCGGCACGTGTTTCTACAACCATGGCGTCTGCAATAAAGTGCAGATGATGTCCATGCGGGGTCAATTCAAATACGCCTACAGCGAGGAGTTGAGAGCGCACGCTATCGACCTGCCTTATGAGGTCAGTTCAGTGTTATTTGATTTTTATATAAGAATGAAAATGCTAGAAATTAGGTATATATTTAATGATAAAAAATTACTTGACGAAAAGCAACTCTGCCCGTGTATTAAGCTGGAATCGAACATTATACTTCCTAATCTCTAACATATTTACTTACCTGATACGAACCCTCGCACCTTTTGGTTGCGAAAATTGCAGTTGCGAATCCTGTTTGTAACCTGGACCAGTGTATTTTTTTCTATTAATATTTTTTATTTTATTTATAAATCGGGCATTCAATTACTTCACTGTGACGTCACTCATTGATCTTCACTTAGGTTACATGAGATAGCCACTGATGGATTTTTTTTAGGGTGGCAGATACTCCATGGTCCTCCTGGTGCCAATAGACCGTGATGGCTGCGCGCCCCTCATCAGGGACTTGCCATATATGAGCCTGAACCAGATCGTTAACGTTCTGGAGCCGTACGACGTCCAACTGACTATGCCCAAGTTCACCATAGACTACTCGGAAGATATGGTCGGCCCGTTGATAAGCGTAAGTAGACTAATATTATATGATTATGTTTTCTCAAAAAGTTTAAAACTTACAGTAACCTAAGTTAAGGTTACAGGAAGAGCGTATCATAATTATTAAAATGAGGAGTTTTATTTTTTAAAGTATTGTTACCTAATTCTGTAATCAATGAAAAAATAAAAAAGTTTGTATGTTTGTTACTAAATCACGCAAAAACCACTGAAAGCATTTGGATGAAATTTGGCATACATATAGTTTATTACCTGGATTGAGACATGGATACTTTATATATCGGAAAAATGTTAGTTTCCTGAGAATAGGGTATTTGCCAGTAATTAAAAATAAAGTGCCAATTGTTAGGATCTGTGTTTAGATGGAATATTGGCAGGGGTTTATACTATTTTACAAAAAAATATTCATAATTTTACTAAAAACTCTCGAAAAAGATAATAGTATTCTTATCTATTGTCACGTGACCCAAAACGCTTGGGATTGGCGGAGCCTAATATGCCGTCACACAGAAGTAAACTTCCGGCTAAAGTGACATTACATTGTATCGTTTGACGTTTTAATAACAGTCGTGTGACGTCACACACTAGTAAGACGCCATATTGTCCAGGGAAACGTTTTCGCAGCAACGTGAAAATGAAGGTTTTGATTTGGTTATTTTTACTGAAATACACAACAGAATGATGAATATCTACTTTTTACGGACTCTATAAACATTAGTCAATAACGTGAGATCGTTGCCTAAAACTTGTCAAAGGTCCTATTGTAAGTTAAAAATGCTTTTTTCGCCAGATGCGCATCAGCACTCTGTTTGCATCGTCATCAAACCTGTCTGGGATCTTCGACGGTGACTCTCCTTACATCAACAGCATGTACCACAAGGTGCACATGACTGTCGATGAGCAGGGTACTGTGGCGGCTGCGGCCACCGCGGCTATGGTAAGTAATCTATTCTAATATATTATTTCTGTTAAAAGGCAAAAAAAGGTGGCTAACAAGCATATGGCTTCACCGTCACTTAACATCAGGTGGGGTGGAGTCAGTTGTCGGACCTATTTATAAAAAATAATATGACCCTCCTGATAAACGGCTACCAAAACCTATGGAAGTCAAAAATTCTTTATTTAAAGTTAAATTCAAAAGAGTTGTATTGTGCATCAACAATGCACAATACGACCTAAATGAGTTGAATTGCGCATTGTTGATGCACAATACAACTCTTTTGAATCGTCCATATTTTTTTCGCTCTACCAGTCTAGCACATTTGTTTAGCTGTGGAGAAAAATCGCAGCGTTAAATTATTATGTAACAATATTATATTGTTGTGGGGTCAATACAGAATTATATCATCTTTATTAAAATTATATAAAATGACTGCCAGAACGTTTGGAACACTTTAAACCCAAGCTTTTTTGTCTGAAATATAATCAGACACCTTATAAATAGGCTTTATGAATACGAACTTTTTAAAGGTAGCTTTAAATTTATTGAAGCTTTATTTTTGGATATTGCTAGGGAATTTATTGTAGACATTTACGATACCAAAAATATTACTCGCCCCGTTGCCTACCCTGACCCAATCCTGTACCCCGTGGAGCCCTGTAACCTTACTCACCGACAGAAACCCAACACTAAGAAAAGGCATTTTATTGTGGTCTCCTGTACGGTGAGGGTTACTTCCACAGACGGGCGCTTCAATTCGGGCGGCAAATCTGCTATGCCCTACCTCTCTTAAAATCAAAATTATAAAGAGGAAAGATTTTAAATGATAAACTATGGAACTGATTTAAAAAAAACCTTAATTAACAGTAAGCTACATATTTTGAGTTAATATTGCAACATGCAACGAACAACTTTCTAAAAAGGTAGAAAACGATGGTGCGGCCAAATACGAGCTTTGGCCGCACATATCAGCCTTTTACAGATGAACAGGGAATACGTACTCAGTGTATTCTTTGTATCTATGCTAATTACAAAAGCACATTTACTAAATCTCGATTCAACTAAAATTAGCTGTAACCTTAAGAAAAATGACAAAGTTCAATGTTAATTTGATAATATTATGTGGGCCAAATTTGGTTTTTAGTTAAATCGAGATTTAGCAAACTTGCTGCAAGTCCTCTGTCTGTGAACTTAAAACTTAAGTATCTTTTGCAATGGCCGCTCATTAGATGGGTGATCAAAAACTTTTATGTTTGGAGGATTATTAAATTCTGAAAGAAGTCCATGACTAAGTTAAAAAAGGCATTTACGCACAGCTGTGCAAAAGCTGTGCAGCGATGGAAAAAATCAATTTTTTTGTGTAAGATTTCCTTGCGTTTTTTGCTGCAGTGAATGCGCCTGCGCATTCTATAACATTTCAAACTTAACAGCCTTGTATTCTGCGCGTTCGGTTATTTTGTCGTGCTGTGTTGTTGCTGTACTTACACGCAGACACTAAGATACCTTGTCTTACAGGTGGTGCCTCTCATAGAGGACGGGGTTCAGCTTCGCGTGGACCGTCCGTTCGTTTTCTTCATCAGGGACAACGAGCTGCGAGTCGTTCTGTTCGAAGGAAGGATTGAGGAACCTACGCCATTTGTAGACGCTTCTCCAGCGAAAGGTGATTTGATATATATCTTATGATCATCTTTGTTTGCGTTAAAATTGCTGTCACTTAGACGAGTGCTTCTCAAAGTGGCTCAGATACCCCCTCGGGTCTGTGCAGCGACGCAAAATTAGATTATTAATTCTCATCTTAACATTTTTGAAGAGACTTATGAAGGAGCATCATCGGGAGCATTATCTTTATATTACTATATTAATAGAACAAAAGGCAGATGGAGGCAACTATCTTGCTGATTCCGTCACGTCACTACAATTACAATAATAATAATAATAAATTTATTAAAAACAGGCATAATGGGTACAATTTCATATAGTTCGTTGAATACTATAGTTAGTTTATAGAAAATGTGTTACGGTATCAATGCCCAACTCCGGTGGGAATCACAATAACAGCCATAACAAAGAAAAAATAATTAAATTAAATATAAAAGTAATTTATGTTAAGTGTAAGTAGAAGTATGTGTTTTTAAGCATCAAAAATACAATCTTCTCCTTTCGAGGTAACTTTGCGTTTTCGCATTTGTACGAGGAACTTCATTCAGCCTTCGAATATTTTTTGAAGTGAAAACTTCTTTAGCGGCGTTGTAGTTTTTTTTTTTGTATGGGTAAAAAATGTTAAACTCGCGTCAGGTTAAACACGTGGGCTGATCGCATCATGACACACAATAAAATTGGAAAGGTTATTGACTTTCAATATATTGGACGAAACATAGTAATATTTTATTTTATCGTATTATAATAATAAGTCTCTATCTAGGACGTCCACGTGGTAGCTTAATTGCGAAGAAAATGCGTTTTTATTACAATAGATGTCGCTAGGTGCGCTTTTATGTGATTCGTGTAAGTTGATTTCTTTACAACACATGTCGCTAAGTGCGCTTAAACGTGATTCATGTAAGTTGATTTTTCTGAGAGATAAACTTTTTAATGTATAATATAAATTGTCATGTTTGTGTACGATAGCGCAATAAATAAATATTGTATTCTACCACATACATGATAGTACTTTTATATTGGTAATTAAAGCAATTCGTGCAAAATTATTCCCTAACCATTCCAAAATATCAAAAATGCACAACCTTAATATTCAAGTTTTCACTTCTGCCGGAAATTTCCGATTATTTTGTTAGTCCTTGTCACAACTTTATTTAATTGAAACCAATAAATGAAGCAAAGTTATTACCTTTATTAAACATGAAATTGCCTTTCCTCCTTTTTGTATCATCGCTTCGTTCCTCTCTTTTCTTATCTCCGTCCTCTCTCTCTTTCCTCCCATGAGTCTTGTAAACTGCTAGACGTATGGCATCGCGACTAGCGGGTGGGACTTGGACTTGATTTCCTTCCCATACATTTACACAAAACATATAACTGATAAGTACATATTTGTGAATTAGAATTACTTATACATAGTTTAATAAATAAATAATAAAAAAAAACTTGTCCGCAGCACCAACCCCAGTGGCGCCTCCACCTGCCCAGATGATGCCATCAGGCCCACCAGCGCCAGTAGCCCCGCTGGCGCCACCATCCAAACCAGTACCAGAGCCAGTCACAAGAAAACTGGTGCAGCGCCAATGACATTCAATTTAAACTATCGAACAACGAAAATAGTTCATATAGCTCCTTAAAAGTTAAAAAAAAACTATTAAATACTCGTTTTATCTAAACCTTCAGAATGTTTTTTTATAGAATACAATAGAAACAAGACAATAGGTAGATAAAAATAAATGTAACTTCATACGGTAAAGAAAATAATTCAAATTCAAAATTGTTTATTACAAACTACAAAATGGACCAAATCTAAAGATAAATTTACTAATAGAAAAAATCTTACGCGGACCAGGCAGCCGACGGGACACGAACCCGCACCCGCACCCTTCGCTATCCGGGCAAATGCATTACTATGCTACCGCGGCCCTGATGGCCTCGTCCAATTTACTATAGCCTTAGGCTGCAAGGCAGCTCCATCTTTTCGCATTGTAGGTAAAACATAATGTCAAATGAATTTCTTTACAAGAATTAACCATTTGAAAGAAGGAAGCATGGTCCGCGTGGATTTATTCTAGTATAATTTTCTTTAGATTCAAACACCTTGCAAAATGGTCCGTTAAATCGTTAGTAACTAATAGTAACAATATAATAACTTACCTAATTAATACTCTTTTTTGTATCAATCTCATGAATATTAAGCTGACTTAGGCCTGTATTATAGATCGATTCTCAGTAGTCTTGAGCATAGTTAGAAAGGGATGTCGCTATATATAGCACATAGCGATATCCCTTTCTAACTGTACTCAAGTAAAGATCAACACTTAGTTGTCATTCTGTAATACAGGCCTTAATAATATTTAGCATTCTGTCGAAAATACTGATATGTCACTAATATTTTGATAGAAGTACTTTTACAAGAAATATCTTTGTGAAACGCCCAACCTATTTTCAAAATTACTTTACCAAATACTTCCTATTTTTATATTTTTTTTTGGTTTTTCAAAATAAAAAGATAGGACTTGGCATATTTTGAATTTGAAAATGGCTATCACGAAACCATTTATCGCATCCAATATCATTATACTAAGTTCAAGATATTTTTTTCACCTATGTATAAAATTTAGCTCCTTTCATTAAAACCATTACTGTTTTTGGATATACATATTAGACTTGACCATTGCCAAAACTAACCTGACTGAGGAGTGCCAATGGGGATGACGACGGAGAGAATTTAACTAAATTCGACTAAGTCTGTCAGTTGATTATTCAAAAATGATGTACGCTAATTTTTTGGTTGATTGAAAACCAAAAATAACAAAGATAAATAAAGTGCGTCAAAAATAAGAGAGTGGTGACGTCACTTCTTAGTGACATCACACGCCCTTTCAAATCAATATATCTCCAGTGTTTTCATTGTGTGAATAAAGAAAGAATACGTATCTAATACTTTTTGATCACCTACCTAATAGATGAAGAAAATAAAACTTTAGCCATTATCCCTATTGAAGAGCTAAGAATGTTCTGCAGAATATTAGAAAATTTAAGAAAACAACTTACAACTCTACCCGATGGGTGTAGTCGGTTTTACATCCTTCGATTCCGCAAGTCAGTTTTTACGTTTTAGGCAACTCTTCGCAAGTGTCAATCTCTCGAACATTAAGTGACCTTTCAGTAATCACACATTAGTTTTTAAGACATTAATGTTATTTGAGTTTGAAAATAAATACATTAGTAAACGACTGATGGTGTTCCATTTTTTTTCTCCTTTCTCTCCTTTTTACCCGGCTGCGCAATGCAAGAGCGCGAAGCGCGACGCGCAGACAGGGTTATGTGTTTAACAGTCTATATATGTATGTTTGTTCCTTTGTGGCACACTAGAGACCAAACGCCTGGACCGATTTTGATGATTCATACATCAATCGATTCGTCTCAATCATGGGAGTGCTACTAAAGATATGATAGTAATCAAAATTCAATATGGGCAAAATTAGGCGCACTATTGTGACGAAGTAAAAAAAATAAGTTGACAAAATATGTCGAGTGGGGTATCACTGTCTAGATAATCAAAAATCATATTTAGGTTCCTAACACCATTTTTCATTTTATATGATTGTTTAGGATCTACAACGCTTTAAAGTTGTTTATTAACCACTTGCGCTTTTAATTTCAATCTTACGGTTTGTATGGATCTTTGTTACTCTTTCACTTAAAAAATACTGAATGGATTTTAATGAAACTTAACAGTAATATAGCTCGTATATGATAATAACATATATATAATAATTAATGTAGTTATTGAGTGAATTGACCAAAATATAACAATAAATGTCACATAAGACGGAAAAAAAATCTCCCATCTGCGAGCCATTTTGGCCTGCACTGCAAAAACAATAAAAGTTACATGAATGTAATGTAGAGTGAAAATGTATCTCTTAAATAGTTCTAAAAAATAGTCCGTGACACCATATATCTATTTTTAATGTGTAAGCCATTACCGCTAAAATAGTGAATCAAAACTAAAATATTATTTGATATCTATTTCCAAAATGCACATTTTGTATTAACAAATTATTTTTTATCAAAACAAATACTTTTGTCGCTTTTGGTATTTAAAGACGATAAACTTTGCCTTTTACACTATGTCATTTCGACAAATATTTAAAAAGATACAACGATGACAAAGTGATAGCGCGATGTACTATGTAGGAGTAGCATGCGGGATTACTAAGAGAAGAAATTTAATTAAGGTATTTATAAACGTGGATAAAACCTAGGCGAAAAAGAAAAAAATGGGCTACTCGCAGTATCTGATCCTATACGAAGTACTTACAATAAAACTGTGATACAGTTCCTTCTTATTAAATGATGAAAAATAAATTATCATAATAGGTATTTATGATTATTGAATTTTAATGAAAAACTAAGAATTATACTGTTTTAATTTTTTTTAACGATATTACTGAATATTACAAAAAAGGTTTACTTAATATAATGACAAATAACCCATTTTTCGCTAGTAGGTATCATCTCGCAATAATATTGGTTTTGTAATTATAAACGATAATTCTGCAAAATTGGAAGTAAATAATATAGATTTTTATAGGTAAATTACCCCTTTCATCACCCTACGCCTATAAGTATTGCGATACGAACCAAGAACCAAGGTCCCATCTACTTCTATAGGGGAATTCATTATAATCGATTTAGCTATTAGGGCACAAAAGCGCAACAAACAAACTCAATTTCGCATCTTTAATATTATATTATACTTACTAGTGACCGGGCATTGTACGGGCGGAATTTATTTTATCGGGATAAAATATAGCCTATGTCACTCGGACAAAATGTATTTAAATAAAGAAAAATGTAATAATAAATAATGTATGTAGGTACCTTATGATGAATTAATATTTGAAACCGGTTCAGTAGTTTGACAGATTATTTGTTACAAACATACAAATTTTGCCTCTTTATAATATCAGTATAGATAGTTAGGATAAGAGTATTTAATTGATGAAAAAGATTTAAAAATAAAGTAAGAAATAGGTTTATTTGATTATATTTGTAAAATTTACTTAGCATTTGTGCTTAACAGTGATAAGTTATTCGGTAGTTTTATTATACTTACAAAAAAAAATTGGAAAATAATTGCCATGATTGCACTATTTGCAATACCTACTAGGCTACCAGGCAGCACGCTTGATAGGTGGAAGTACTCTTCATTCGAGCTTTACACTACCAAAAAAAAAGGCCCGATCATAAAGTCTTTGATCTGTTATATGTGAACGCTTTAAAAGAAAACTACAAAGAGAACTATAAATTGATAATAAATGAGATTGCTATGGTGCTCTACCTAACGTTATGAAAATTTTATTATGCGCCTTTAGTTTAATCAAATATTATAAACTTTGCTTTGGTAATTACATAATTATTTAATTTAGCGATCTAAGGCAGTTGCCACCATTATCCAAAACAACAGACGGGAATTACTACTTTCTTCAAACCTGTGACATAAACGTCATTGATTGGTATTGTATATAGGGTGATTAACAATATTTGAAGTTAACTTCTGGCATCTAAATATTGGGTTTCTGTGAATTATGTAGATATATCAAATTATGAGACTAGGATATGACACTGCATTTGTGTATATCACAATCTTAGAGCCGGACGTTGACATGACAATGCAGCCACTGCCAATTTTAAGTAGTCGGCGAATTTTACTGCTAAACTACTAAAAAGAACATAAACAAGACATGAGTTTTTGAATAAGTGCTAGTTTACTATAAAATTTACATACATTAGATATTTATGTAACGACTTGATTTAACTTTACACATTTTTGCGAAAATTGAGGCCAATCTGCAGCCTTGACCCCGCTGGTAAAGTCTCTAAATGTCTAAATAAATCAATCTTTTAGACGACCGCAAGGTACTTAATAATTCCCGCGATATTAATTCCCTTACTAAAGTAACAAGACTACGGTATATACCGTCTGAAAATACTAACTAAAAAGTGTGAAATAAAAAAAGGTAAATTTAAAAAATCAAAAAACCCGACTGCTTAATTATACTTCAAATAAAAACTGAAAAGAAAAAAACAAGTCCAGTAGTCTATAATTCTGTTAATAAGGAACAAAGCTACTTTAACAGTCGGGACCCATTTTTGAAAAATATTATGTATTCTTGAATATCTAATGGGTCCCGACTGTTAAAGTAGCTTTGTTCCTTATTAACAGAATTATAGACTACTGGACTTGTTTTTTTCTTTTCAGTTTTTATTTGAAGTATAATTAAGCAGTCGGGTTTTTTGATTTTTTAAATTTACCTTTTTTTTACAATAATACAGGACAGTTGACACTGTGGGTCGTTACACATCCATTCCGCGACGCCCTAGGTCAGGACGCATCCACAGTGATTATTTTTATATATATATATATATATATAGGTTGGCAAAGGACTACCCCACCTGATGTTAAGTGGTGATAAAGTCCAGACGCAAAGATAGCCAGCTATCTTATTTATACAGGGAGTGACAAAAGTCCGAAATAAAACTTTAGGGTTTGGTTGTGTTCCTTGTATAGAATT